CAAAATTCCTGCATAATTCAGTGTGTGAGATGTAATCAGAGTGATTCAGAGTGGTTTGGTGTGAAATGGTTCAGATGTCTTTACAGTGGTGGTGATAGGAACCAGGGGTCGCCATGACTACAACACAAATATAGACATTTTATTTACTATCCAGAACCACCAGTGAACCTACACGAGTCTTCTGAGTTTATATGGAATGTTGATGATGGAAAACAGTGATAAATCTGAAATAATACATTTCTTTGGGGACTGTTTTGCCTCACAGCACCCTACATGTATCCATCCACCATGAATGGATTGTTTAAGACATCAGGCAGTGAATTCATAACCATTTCATCATGTAGTAACTTTCTGTGAGGGAGCTTTTAGAGGTGGACATCTGGTTCCTGTCACAACCACTGTGAACAGTTCTGACTCAGTAAGTTTCTGTAGAACAGAGCGTTTCACACCAAACCACTCTGAATGACTCTGTTTACATCTTAACAATTTTATTATATTTTTTTTTGAAAAATCAGTGGAGTGCCCCTTTAAGGGTTCTCAAATCCCACTTCAAGGACCTATTTATTATTTTAAAGCATGAAGGCATGCAGAAAAAACAAAAGTGCTTTTTCTTTTTTTCATTTTTGGAAAGATTTTCAACATACCAGCATTTGGGTGCCACGGTATGTGCAATGTCTATCATTAAAAACAACATATCAGCAGGTTAGGCTTGCTTTATACCATATATTTGGATCCATCTAATCAGCTCATTAACACACCATTACTGAGTTGAAGTGGTTGTGCTGAAGGGTAACTCCACTGATTTTAGAAAATGTTTACTTAATTAAATGGTTTAGATGTAAACAGAGTCATTCAGAGTGGTTTGGTGTGAAACACTCCATTCTAGATAAACCTACCGAGTCAGAATTGTTTACAGTGGTGGTGATAGGAGCCAGACGTCCACCTGTAAAATCTCCCTCATATGAAGTTATTACATGAAATGGTTATGAATTCACTTCCTGATGTCTGAGACACTGTTTTATGGTAGTTTTGTGGTAAAGTTTTGGCCTGAAACGTTTTGTATGGTGGAGGGATACATGAAAGGTATTATGAGGCAAAAAAAGTCCCCAAAGTGAATTTACTGATTTCAGATTTTTCACTATTTCACCATTATCAACATTCCATATAAACTCAGAAGACTCACGTAGGTTGACTGGTGGTTCTGGATAGTAAATAAAATGTCTATATTTGTGTTGTAGTCATGGCGACCCCTGGTTCCTATCACCACCACTGTAAAGACATCCGAATCTGTAAATTTCTCTACAATGAACCACTTCACATCAGAACTGTTTACATCTTAATGATTGAACTATGCAGAATTTTCAAAAATCAGTGGCGTTCTCCTTTAAATCAGGTCAAAGCTCTAAAATGTGCAGGACAGTGTGCTACCAGGACTAGGGTTGCAAAACACTGGCTTAGATAACCCTGTGTTAGAAAACCATCAAATGCATCTAGAATCAGTCACAGGTCACCTGTTAAACCATCAGGGTCCTTTACACTGTAAAATCAACCCACCAGAACAAACAGCAGAGATTAGATAGAATTACAAACCCACAAGGAACCAGCAGAAGTATTTATGGGTTTCTTTTCCTTTTTTTCATCAGAGTGCAGAGTACAAATATTCACTTTAAAAGAACTCAGGCTACAACTAGTTCCCAAATAAGGTGACTGGGCTAAATATAGGACCATGTTACAAAAACGAATGTTGTCTTTAAGTAGAGAAATGAGCTAAATCAATGCTAGATTATTAGGAGTTGGCTTGCATCGCATCTACAACATGAAATCTCAAAGTAACTCACAGAGCAGACAGTTTCTAGAACTGTTCTCATGCCTGGTGGGTCTAGCTGCCTTTAAACAAAGCTGAGTCAGAGATGAATCGTCTCTGCTACATTATTTTGGTTATTGACGCTGATGTTATAGCTCAGAAAGTAGATTTTCCACTTTACTCGTTTGCTTCTCTAATGAAAGTGGTTTACAGCAGCTTACTTGCAGCTTTTAATATCGACATTTAACGAGAGAAAATCCAAAACAAAAAACGCTGTTAGATAGTTAGCGTTAGCTAGCTAGGGCAGTCGATCCCAAAGGAATCGATTCTTCGAATCCAGCACTTCTGGTAGTCGGCGTCGAATCTTCGCCAGTCACTCTAGGAGTCGAAACTCTTGGAGTCGACTCTTCAGCTCCGTGTTATTTTTCACTTTTCAGTTTTTTTTTTAATATAATTAAGTTAGCTGCTTTTAACAACACCAGGGCTGAGAGCACAAACTGTTCACATAAACGTTTATTAATCCGTCATGCGTTGCAACTCTTCAGGATTCAGGTCGCAATAAACGATTATTAGGAACGAAAACCATAAACAAACAGTATTGCACACTGAGCGTTCTGGAAAATAGGACGAAGCAGAAGTTGGCTTCTTATTCGCCAGCTTCTCGGTTCATTTTCCGTTCCACCTTAAATGGCGCTGCTTTTGCACTCTGGTGCGACGCACCACTGAGGCGCATGCAGCGTCATTTAAAGTGGATCGAAAAAGTCGAAAACGAAGCCAACCTCAGCCTCGTGAAAAGAGGACTAAGTTAACACCAACTAGTTCCTCGCTACAGCAGCGATCTTCTCGGTACATCACTCCGCCCCTCATTATGTGAAATAAGCTTCATTTTCAACATATTATACTCTAAAATTTGGGTAAATGTTTAGGCTGGTTTAAGCTCTGCTGCATCCCTACACCACTTTCAGCTGTCTCGGTTAAAACAGAGTCGTGGACCTAACCACGAAGTTCAAGATCACTACGCGTATCCATGGAAACCTGACCTAAGCACTCCGTTCAAAAATACAAATCATTGCGCGTAGCTATGGAAACCTGACCTCAGCACTTCTCGTTCAAGATCATTGCGCGCAAATACTAACGTATTAAACCGTGAACCTGGTCTGCTCGTTGCTACAGCTTTTCTCCCGCTCATTCAATCAACGGTTGTGGGCTGGGTAGTATAAATGCACTTAGAATCAGCCTATAGTCCACTGTAGTCGTGCGTCATTCTGTAGTCCTCGTTATGCCCATATTAGGAATTCCGGGTCTGAGCTCCATTTCTCTATGGCCAGAATGAATAGGGTTTTCGAAAAATCGCCTCTAGCGCCCCCTGTGTTACATAAACATGTTCAGAACCCGATACGTTTTGTCCTGTTAACATTCTTCTCCCGAATACCACCGGATCCTCCGAATTACGAGGTCGTTAAAGAGCTATAATACTAATTTTGCTACATGCGAGCTAAAGCTACTGCGCATCCATTAGATGTCACTAAGCTACGCGGTACTAAGGCGGGCTGTGGCGGAGCTCTGACGAGCTGTGCTACCCTATCGAGATGTTCGCAGTGTAGCGCTTATTTACAGGTATACCCGTAAATAAAACCTCTAGGTAGGATATTCTGATAGGCTAAAGCTCCATATAAAAATACTACCCGTGTTAAAACTACGAGGCTGAATGCAGCTTCTTGCTTGAATGTTCTCGTTCCACCTTAAATGATGCAGCAGCTGTGGCTAGCTGTCACAAACAGCAAACGAGACAAAACGCTGACCTGTCGGTTCTGTGAAACAGCAAAAATAAGTTAGTCACTCAGCTGTTCAGCGGAAGTAGAGAAACCTCCTCATATCAGGCCTTTCAACCCTCCATGGAGCTGAACTCAGCTGCTTTTTCGGATTTCCCCGTTCCACCTTAAATGGCGCAGCAGTTCAGAACGTGACTGCTGCACCACTTAAGGTGGAACGGGTAAAGTCGAACAAATAGCTGGCGAATGTCCTCAGAAAAATATTCCCAGCATTAAAATAATAATGGGGATATTCTGAGCCTAAATCAGTTTATCAGGGTCAGCAGTGATATGAAGCTGAGTCTGTACTGGGTCAGCCTGAGTTCAGGTCTGTAGATCTTTTCAAATCAAGCTAAAAGGAAAGATCTATCCTGTTTCAGTGAGAATCAGATGAAGAACAGAGAACTGCAGGGAAACCTGCTGATTTTGTTTGGACTCCTTTTCATCTGCCCTCAGTCTGAACATGGAAATGTACCCTGACAAAGCCTGATTAAGCAGGCCGCCAGTCTAATGACGTAACTTCAGTTCACAGTAGCTTTAGCTCACATGTAGCATTATTCATATTTCAGCTCTTTAACGACCTCGTAATTCGGAGGATCCGGTGGTATTCGGGAGAAGAATGTTCACAGGACATAACGTATCGGGTTCTGAACATGTTTATGTAACACAGGGGGCGCTAGAGGCGATTATTCGAAAACCCTATTCATTCTGGCCATAGAGAAATGGAGCTCAGACCCGGAATTCCTAATATGGGCATAACGAGGACTACAGAATGACGCACGACTACAGTGGCCTATTGGTCACTTGTTGGACCATTTGGATCCTTTACATTTTTTATCAACAAATTTAAAAGCCAAAAACATCATAAACAATGGTTTTTGTTGTTTGTTTTTTTTTAAACAGAGCGCAGTCGCAGCTCTGGAAACCTGACCTAAGCACATAGTTCAGTATCAGTATAGGAATTTCTGTCATTGTTTTCAGGTGAAAGTGATTATTTTAGCTCCCCAGCGGGCGTATTAACGCTTTGCGTCACTCCTCATTTGCATAATTTTCCCGGGTCTTTGGCTCCCAGGCGGCTGGAGAAATCAACTCAAGCGCTGGTTTGGTTCCGGTTCCGAAAGTTCCCGAACTTCGCCGAAGAATCAACAGTTGTAGCAACGAGCAGACCGAGTTCACGGTTTAATACGTTAGTGATTATTGAACTGACCGAACCGAGCTCTAAAGTCGGTCATATTTGGTGCTGAAATGCCGCTTCAACAGCCAAGCGTGTAGAAAGTAGTCCGACCTAAATCACTGCGCGTAGCGCGCGCTGATCGCCAAGGGTATATATAGGACTGTGTTCTAGGCGGTTCATAAACGTTTGTAGCGTGGTGCTGTTTGGAAAACCTTCTCAAATGGTGTGGGAGAACCTGGCGCGGTTCTGTTTGCTCATTGGTGGGCTGATGCCTCTGGGACACTGTGCCGCTTTGAAGGGTGAAGGAAAACCCGACTCAGCGGATGTTTTAAATGTTAATACACAGGGAAGATTGTTGGTGGGTAAAGGTGGCGGTGAGAAGCCAGAAGCCAAAATGGTGTGGGCCGGGAAGCTCATCATTGGGTTAAACGGCAGTGCTCCTGAGGACTTCAGCGATATTCCTGAGAGTCTAAAATATGGCAGTGGATCTCTCAATGACTCTGATTATCAGTCTGACCAGGCTGGTGAGTAGCATTAGCCACTTCTCAACCCTTGGCTGAAAGAGCAGGAGAAAGACTGTTGGCATTAAAAACTAATCCTTGCTGGAAACCTCATAGAAACCCTGCAGGATTTCTGTTGGTGGTGTCCAGTAGTCAGTAGTGCTGTTTTTGTTTTTTCTGATGGGTTGATGTCACAGTGTGAAAGGGTTTTAGTGCTTTAACAGGTGAGCTGGGACAGTTTCCAGATGCGTTTGATGGTTTCCTTATGGGATCTGAGGGTGTTCTACAGGAAACTAGTGGTAGCCATTAAGCCAAATCCTGTTGGGAAGCAAAACAATCTGGTTTTAATGGTCTTTTTCTTTTCTTTTCAGCAGGTTTAATTGTTACCTTAAGAGATCACTAGTTTTCTGTAGGACACCTTTTAGACCTCATTGGGAAACCATTAAATGCATTTGGAATTGGTCCCAAAACAACTGTTAGAATCCTTTATACTGTAATATCAACCAATCAGGAAAACACAAAACACCATTATTGGCTATTGGACACCACCAGGAACCAACAGAAACTTTTAATCACTCACTCAGTCACTCACTCACACACTCACACTCACACACACACACACACACACACACACACACATAATGACCCATTGACGTATAAGGATTTTCAATAGGCCAATTTTAAAATACAGAAAATAAGTATATCAACTGCAATTGTTCAAACACTGAGAATGTTGTGAACCCAGAAATTCATATTTAAATTTTAGATTGTTATTTTAGATTTTTTTTCATCTAGATGAAATGGCTGTGGCCTTAAAAAAAAAGTCATGTGGTGCGACCATGCTTTGTCTCAAAATTAATTCATTTCTTTGACACACTTTTTTTTTTTTTACAAGTTCTCAGTAATATAAAGTGTTTAAAAACAAAGGGTTTGCCTTACTTTTGAGTTTTATAAATAATGATCTCATTTTTGTTCTGTATTGTCTCAGTCACCTTCTTAAATGAAGTAACAGACTTATTTTTCCTGCAAATCGCATAAAACTTATAAAACGTTCTTTAAAAAGCCATTAACTCAAACATACTGCATCAGTGATTAACATTTCAGCCACAAAAATGTTATTTTATTTTAAATTTAAGTTATTGCTATTGTGTCTCATCACATGAGGAGTTGCTCCAAATGACATCTCTTAAAATCTATTTTAAAATCAGATCAAAATAAGATCAATAAACAGCAAATTCCGTACAAAAAATAGATATGAACCAGTTTTATCATAATTTTAAGGATTTGTCAAATGTTTCAAACTTTTTTATACTAAAAATCTTATCACAAATCAATATAAGTGCAGCACATTCACGGCTTTGTTTAGAACAAACATTTCATTTGACTTAACAATGGAATAAATTCATTTTGTTTTTCAAATCATTTTGATCAGAACCAGAAATCCCGCATTTGTAAAAGTGGGTGACAAAACAGGGCAAATTCTATTGCTATTATACTATTTTTACCTTTGGAACCTTTCTTTGCCATTTTTTCTCTGGTACACAGTAAAAAGATTCACAGTAAAAAAAAAAAAATATTTAGTGGTAATAAGTAAATTGAAAATGTTTTAATCAAAGTGAATTGTAAAATTGAGTACAGCTATTTCAATTGTTACCAGTTTTATTTTTTTTGTTTGTTTTTTTTTAAAAAGGTAGAACTGAACTTTTTACAGTGTAGCTAAAACAGGAATGTAATACAGCATCATGCCATAAATCTATGTTATATAGTTTTTCATTTTGGACTAATAACAGATGATAGCAAATGCAATGTTAACAGAAAATGCATTTCTTCCAGGTAATGAAAAAATACATGAGCAATTTTTATTTTTAAAAATTTTAAAAATAATTACATTCATTTCTCTTCTCCTAGCAAGGTACACACTGCCTATGGTGAGAGATATTTACAATGGTACCTGGTAAAATAAATTAAAACGGGTATAGATATATAAATAGAAGTTAAGTGAAATTACATGTGCTTTATTTTCTGCACTTTTCTCATTATAATGTACAAAGATCAAACACAAACTGTTTCCAAAATATTAGAAAAAATTACTCAATTGCATTAAAATCGATTCTAAAAACAGTACAAAAACTGCCAGATATCTATTATAGAAAACACTCTTCATCGGTTGCACCACATGGTATTTTCAAGTTCGGTCAAAATGTACCAGCACAGAATTGGCCACCGAAAGAAAATAAGCTAGCTTTCCACAAAAGGTAACAATGAAATTTATAATGAAAATGTATAATTGCAGAAATAATTAATATCCATTATTTTGGCAACAACATGTCAGCCTTTAAAAAGATTTTTCTTTCCCAAATTTCAGAGAGACTTACAAATCTGCTTGCTGCTTCCATGGGTCCTTGGCAAACTGCTATATGATGCAATCTCCTGGTTTTGAGATGGTTTTAACATAAACGTCCCAAAGTGGTTGTTTCTTGATGGTTACATCGCATGATATTTCATAAAATGGACATCGGACAAAGTTTGTTTGTATATTATGGTGTGTGTGTATATGTATATATATATATATATATATATATATATATATATATATATATATATATATATAATTAAAAAAGTGTGTATATGTGTTTGCATGCATAAATTAATATTATTAACTATTCCTCTCGTGTTGTTAGTCTTCTTCCTGGATGTTCTTATGGGGAGAAACTTGCTATGTTAGCCTGTTGTCCAATCTAATAATTTTAACCGTCACAGACTGGAGTGAGCTGCAGTACCTCCAGGGATCGGTCTACAGCTTTGGTGGTTCTAAATCCCCAGCAGTGCAGCAGCTGCTTGGAGTGAGGCCAAAGGTGGACTGCGATGAAGATGCTATGAAGCTGAAAGTTAATGGAGGAGTCTCTGCCTTTCGTTTTAGTTTGCTTATTGACCGAGGTATGCAACTGTAATGGGGAAAAAAAATTGTTACTTAATTTCCACGCGCTTCCCACGGGAATACAAGAATCACTAGAGAGGTATCATGCCATGGTGTGAACAGTTACAAACAAGAGAAAATGAGCTGCAGTACTCTAGGCATATACGCTATGCTAGCCTAAGCACAAGGTTTATAAACAGTGTAAGACTGGAGTCACACTTTCAGTGGTGAGTCTAATCTAGTAGTTGCATAAACATTCTCCGTGTCTTATAGGGAGATATCATCTTATTTTGCAAGCAATAAAATGTTGTCTTGGCAATATTACTGATAAGGGACACAAATGATAAACTAGCTTCCAGTGATTGTTGCTTTTGGTTCCACTGGAAAAACATTAAGGTCAAGTATATTATTGGTTATTGACACATTTATTCCCAAAAATGTACTTTTTTGCAGGCAGTGTTCCACCACTTCCATTATCAAGAATTCCTACAGAGTGTGGCATTCATATACAGGCGACTTGGAGGGGCTTGGTCCTCACTGTACCATATGATGGATGTTATGTGGCACAAGAGGTATGTTGGAAATCCATAAATAATCGTTTGCTTTTTATCTGAGCAATTAATTCTCCTTGCTTTACAGAGGGATGCATACATTCTCCCACTACGACTGTGGGGGTTGCCAGCTAGAATGTCTTGTCCCTTGTTGAATCCGGCTCAAAGTCCTCCCTCTGTCTCCTGTTATCCTAATGGCATGATTGTGAAGACTCAAAACATTGCCCCTGTTGAGGATCTGTGGGTGAAAGGTAATTTGCATGTGCATTGTGCAATCTTTCATTTTTTTTTTTATTTGATTTTTATAGTCTTTCTGAATCCCTCAGTTGAGAATGAGTGGCAGCCACTGCTGAAGGCGTCACCCAAATGTGGCTATAGCATAGTGTCCCATCCAGATGGAGTGGTTGTTTCTGCCCCATATAAGCCCTGCATGGAAGCAAAGGTATGCAAGATAACGTGTTTTAAATCTGTTAATTTAATCTGTTCCTTACATTTAAATTTGTATGTCTCTCCTCAGGATGGACTGTATTCTCTTCGCATGGCTGCTAGAAATGAATTCAAGCTCTTCTGTCCCTCCCTTGTGCCTAGTTTACCCCTAAATCTGTCCAGTCTAGTTCCCCCAAATCCGAGTGGCAGTGCTGACACCAGTGGCAGCGCTGACACCAGTGCCCCTATCGAGCGAACATCAATTGATGCAAGTCCAATACCTTCTCGACGTCCAACAACTTGGCCATGGTTTGGTCCTCCTTACCCACATCAAATACGTCATTCTTTAACACACAGTCCTACTCCTAAACAACCAGTTGTACCATACATGCTTAGTCAAAGAGATCCACTGCCTACAAGCCTACCAGTCTCACCTGCCACACCCCAGAAAGCTCATCAAATACTTTATCCACAGTTCCCCAATACATGGTACCCTGTTTATCCTCCAAAGCCTCTAATACCTGCACCAATTGGTAAACGTCCTGCTGCACCAGCTTTCCCACAGAAACCCAAACCTGTGCCTGCACCCACCTCAAGAACTATGCCTTCAGCCCCATTATCTGAACTATTTGATGACCTTGTTGCATTCCCTCCTAAATTACCAGAGCAACCTACTTGGCCCCCACCTGGGGCTGTTCTAATGTCTGTGCCTTCTGATCCTGGTGAACGCCCTGGATACTTTGTTGCCCAAGGACCTCGGTGGCCTTATCAGCCCCAATATCCAGACAGGCTTCCTGTTTCCCCCCCAGCAGAATCACTTGAGGGCTCTAGTGTCTTGAAGCAGACAGGTTTATACCAAGCTGTTCCACAAATACTGCCTGGGTCTGTTTATCCACCTCAATACCCACAGAGGCCTGCTGTCTTCCCTACATCTGTCCCTCCTGAATCATTTGATGCATCTAGCATCTTGGGGGCAACAGATTCTCGTCAGGCTGCTCCACAAATGCGTCCTGGATCTGTTTTTGGCCAGGCACCTCAGTGGCGTTATCCACCTCAGTACCCACAGAGGCCTGCTGTTGTCCCTACAGCTGCCCCTCCTGAGTCATTTGACATGTCCAGCATCTTGGGGGCAACAGATTCTCGTCAGGCTACTCCACAAAGGCGTCCTGGATCTGTGTTTAGCCAAGGACCTCAGTGGCATTATCCGCCTCAACGGCCACAGAGCCCTGCTCTTTCTCCTACAGCTGCCCCTCCTGAGTCATTTGACATGTCCAGCATCTTGGGGGCTACAGGTTCTCGTCAGGCTGCTCCACAAATTCGTCCTGGATTTGTTTTTGGCGAGGGACCTCAGTGGCGTTATCCACCTCAGTACCCACAGAGGCCTGCTGTTGTACCTGCAGCTGCCCCTCCGGAGTCATTTGATATGTCCAGCATCTTGGGGGCTACAGGTTCTCGTCAGGCTGCTCCACAAATTCGTCCTGGATTTGTTTTTGGCGAGGGACCTCAGTGGCGTTATCCACCTCAGTACCCACAGAGGCCTGCTGTTGTCCCTACAGCTGCCCCTCCTGAGTTATTTGACATGTCCAGCATCTTGGGGGCAACAGATTCTCGTCAGGCTGCTCCACAAATTCGTCCTGGATCTGTTTTTGGCGAGGGACCTCAGTGGCGTTATCCACCTCAGTACCCACAGAGGCCTGCTGTTGTCCCTACAGCTGCCCCTCCTGAGTCATTTGACATGTCCAGCATCTTGGGGGCAACAGATTCTCGTCAGGCTACTCCACAAAGGCGTCCTGGATCTGTTTTTAGCCAAGGACCTCAGTGGCATTATCCGCCTCAACGCCCACAGAGACCTGCTGTTTTCCCTACAGCTGTCCCTCCTGAATCATTTGAAGCGTCTAGCATTTTGGGGGCAACAGATTCTCGTCAGGCTACTCCACAAATGCATCCTGGATTTGTTTTTGGCCAGGGGCCTCAGTGGAATTATCCACCCCAGTACCCCCAGAGGCCTGCTCTTTTCCCCACACCTGCACCTTCTAAACCACTTGAAGCCTCTAGTGTCTTGGGGGAGGCAGATTCTCCTTACCAAGCCGTTCCACATATGTCAAAACCACTTGGGTACTCAGGATGCTGCCCATCACCAGCATTGTACTCAAGCTGTTGTCCTCCTTCGCTATCCTACTATCAACACAATCACCTGCATTTTGGCTTACCTTACCCTGCTTTTCAGTCTGCTGCCATGCTCTGGTCAACCTCGCAGGCCACAGGTGATTATGAAAGGCATTCTGGAGCATTGCTATTACGAGATGATATCCAGCAGAGAGCTAGAAACCCTTCGGAGAGACTGTTCTCATCCTCTCGTCCCCATGGCTGGCCTCTGAAACCTACTGTGAGACCTCAGACAGTCCCAAACTCTGCTATCTCATCAACTAAACATCCCTGGACTGGTCAAGTGACACCGTTATTTAGCTCTTCACACAAACCCCTGAGGGTTGGATCACTTGCCTATTTAAGTAGTCACCATAAACCAAAGCCTGGCTCTCCCACTTACATAGGTGAAAACAGTCCTGAATACAGCGTGATACGTACATCAAGCCCTCTACAAAATGCTAGTCTAGCCCCCAAAGAAATGCATCGTCCACCTGTCCCAACTTCAGGGCAAACAAATGCAGCGTTCTTTATGTTCCCATCTCATGAAAATTCTTCTCAGCTGAATTATAGTGACCTAGTTGATTCCTTTTCAAAACGTTTCCATGATAAACCTCCCAGGTATTTCCCACGTGGTAAAATCCCTTCCACAGTAGCAGTGCCCCGTAGTTTTGCCACCAAGTCTGAACCACAAAAGCAGGACCCCATATTGCTTGAACTGAATCAAAGTTTGTCCAAGCAAACTCCTGGCTCTGAGCCTCCAATGCAACAGAATGCACATTCTCAAGAGCAGGTTCCCAGTGTTCCTGGTGGGCTTCCAAATGTTCCATCCCATGACCATGCGACTGAAGACTTCTCCATGCCTCACTTACAAGCAGTCGAAAGACTTTTTAGCAAACACTGGGTTTCTGTTGTCCCACCTAAGCAAGCTGCGCAAACAGAGGTCTTTGACCCCCTTGGTGGACTACCACCTCCTGGCTACCAACCACATGGTAAGTTGCAAGTAGGTTTAATGCTTTCTACTTTTGCATTATGCATTATGTTAAGATGTTAACCTTTTACTTTCCTACTTTTTAAGGTCCTATTTGAGGTCTCCTGTTTGGCCAAGCAAATGAAGATGGGACCAGCGTTCTTGCATTTAAAAAAAACAAATTAAAAAAATAAACAAATAAATAAACCTTGGAGTAAGTCTCATCCTTTGTTTCTCATCGTTCTATTCTAGTTGCAATCCTATATTTCATCTGGATACCTCTGTGAAACTTGTTTTTTTTTGACAAAGTACCCTCACTACCAAGATCGTTGGTGTCCAATCTTATCCACAAAGGGCTGGTGTGCCTGCATGTTTACTCCTACAAAGCAGGAGCTCATCTGATAAAACGTTTGAAGACTAAGACCTACTGATTCTACTTGTTTAATCAGGTGTGCTTGTTTGGAGTGAGAACCTGCAGCCACACCGGCCCTTTGCGGATAAGATTGAACACCCCTGGTCTAGATTATGGCTCTACATCCGTTCAGTTGAAGCAGATTGAAAAATTTTATTAACAGTTGTGTAAACAGCAGTTTGAGCATCAGAACAGCTTAGTGTCTGTGAGAGCCACTACCATTTCACAGGCTTGGGAATGATAAAAAAACAAGCCGAACATTGTTTTCTCATTTGCTTGTCTTTGCATATGAGACTTGGTTGTGTATAGTAGCGTTCATTTGTGGAAATCTTAAACTAGCCTTGATGTTCATATGGTGGGTGTGAGTGTCGTTTTTCTTTTGCATGAAACCACAGGCTGTGTTAACTGTGGATGGCAATAGATAGCCAGCGTCCTTCTTAGTCCAGTTAGTCTCAGTCATTGAGATTCATGCTCTAAATGCACCTGATGGAGCTTGATCAGATGAGCGTACTAGATCATTTGGGTGTCTTTTAGAACTGATGCAATACTTAACTGTGCAGGGCTACCTTTTTCTGTAAATGAAATGGAGCAGTCAGGTTGCATTCTTACTGATATGTCTGAACAGGTAAATATGATGAAGGTATACAGTCTCACCAGCTGTCGAAGTCTGTTTTTATGCTGATACCATGCCTGAACAGGTAAACATTAGTTGTACAGTCACCTGTGGTTTAAGTATAGTGTAATGTTCTGGGAAAATGGATTTGCCAGTGCTGAGTCATGGTGAAACGTAAAATCAGGTGTTACAGTTTTTGTACATGTTTGAGAGATCACTGATTGTGATATGACAAATACAGTCTATCAGTCTGTGTTAATGCGTTTCCCAACACCTGCTTTCCACCCCCTTTTAGCATTTTTGCATTGCTGTTCTTTTTTTGCAGAGTAGAGGCTGTACTTGTGTGCTGCATTGATGGATCTATTTAGCTGAAGTCAGGAATCTTGTTGAAGTACCCACTGTGAATAAATAGCAAATAGTCTGTTATTATTAGTGTATCTCCTGAACTCTATAGTTTGTTACTGCTAACATAATTTTGGTTGAAATTTGATTTTAGTTCTTGGAGGGTTGAGTTAGGGATTCTCAAACAACATTTAAAAAAGTGCTTTTTTTATCAAGAGTTCTTTGTGGCACCAAAAAATTCTAAAATAAAATCTTTTTAAGAGTGTGCAGGTAAGTGAGCAGGACAAGCATTGAACAGTAAAATAAAAAGCCATAGTCTTTGACATACATGATTGTGGGGTCGTGTATTTGAATAAGTCCACCCTGATGGATAAAATGTCTTCAGTTTATATATTCACAAGCTGTTAAATCTGTGTCAAATAAATAAATGTGCTGTCATTTTTTCAGTCGGTCAGTTTCCCCCAGACAGATTACGCCTAAGCCTGGACTAAAATTGGTTTTTAAAGACGAATCATTGTTCGCATCGCAATTTAGCCCCAGACTAGTCTAGGCTTAAGCTATGCCCAGAAAACCGGCACTATAATATTGTTTCGGTCAGGTAGTACGCAGGGTGAGCAGTAAGTTGTGAAAGACTCGTCCAGACTGGAAAGTCCAGGGATCTAAAATAGTTGTGCATTCTGAAGACTAACTGAAAAATATGCAGCATTGATACTGAACTATAGGAGAAGGAAATATGCCTGGTTATGTTGTATTTGGAGTACGCACTTAAAAATAATCCCTTTTGAATGGTTCCACAGGAGAACCACCTTTGGTTCCCAGAGTAATTTCATTATAGTTCTTTAAATGAGCGAGCAAGAACATTTTAAAGGTTCACACAGTTCTCAAACCTGACTTCAGGGTCCCCCAGATAGCATGGTTTAGCTTTATCCTAGCCCCTTACACAACCTCCAAATGTGGACCATTGGAATGGGACCTGAGGGCTGGTTTTAGAACCACTGATTTAGGGATTCTACAGTAGTCAAAGGTTTTTCCCAGAACGTATGTCCAAACTAAGGACCTGTATTTTTAACAGTGGACTGCTCTTTCAAAAATAATGGCTCAAATGTGAATGTTGTGCTAAAAACAAGCAAATACTCAACCAAAGAGTCTGAGACTGAAGGTCATTTATTACATTAAAATGGTACAGGTGATACATGGCCTACAGCTGGGCTACATAGTCTTTAGCACCATTTGAAGTGGGAACTGTTTGATCATGCAGGATAAAACAGTCATCCCAAAATGAGTCAGGATTATGGCCCAGTTTTCAGCCAGTTGTTGACCTCAGAACTCCAACAAACCCTTGAAAGGCCAGATGTATGGCTTAGATACACACTAAGACTATGTTCATGTTACAGAGTTGAAGTGGGACGAATCCAAATTTTCGTATTAATGTGACACTTTATTGTTCAAACACATGGTCAGGGTACCATAATAAGACCAGATTAGAATATATATAGTTTTATGTCACTGTACATGCCCATATCACGGTGGTCATCATAAAGTATCACATGTTGATCATGCATGTGACAGAAATATTGGATATATATGTAAATATATACGTTAGAACTAACGCAAGTAATTTGACTGTAGTCTTAAAGTGCGACTGGCTCAGAAATGTATGACCCTCCCTGGGCACCGGACAAGCGCTATGGGCCCAGCCACTGGTGCGTCTGCAGGCTGTGTGCCGACCACTATTGGGGCTACATCCCTCTTCACGATGGGGGCAGCGGGTACGACCACCGAAGCCTCCAGCGACTCAGCAGACTCTGCAGAGACCAGGCCGCTGGCCGTGGGGTCGTGAAGAGGCGTCAGCTTGTGGTGTTTGAGGGCGTGGATGGTGGGTGAGTAACCAGGTCCAGAGGTGTGAGCATGCAGGAGAACCGGAGGCTGTGCAGAAGGAACACTAGCATTGACGTTCGGGTCCACAACTTGACTCTGTGGAGGGAAAGAAGTGTGTCTAGTTAAAAAAATGGGAAAATTTAAAGCTTTGTGGTATTAAAAAGGCTTAAATTATTGGGACCACTTTTTCTGATGGTCCACTCTGGATCACCTTGTCTTTAACTGACATTCTAGGACCCACATCATGGGAAAAAATCCTTTTCTTTTAATAAAAGAGTTTAATGGACTATGTAAACATTGGTTAAGTTTCAAAGTACATCAAGTCCATAGACGCTACAAAACCGGCCTTTTTTGGATTCACTGTATTTGTTACACAGCAGTTTGGCTCCAGTTAATCACAGTGAAGTTAGTAGTGCCTGGACTACTTTTTGAAAAGCCAATCAGAACAGAGCTCATTTACATATGGCAGTCTTAAAGGCACAGTAACAAAAACAGCCTGTTTCATTCTAAGGGACAATGAAAGGTTGGAAAAATGGTTACATACAATTAATTCTGACTGCTTCTGGTACATAAAACCACATAAATATGAAAAAAGAGGAACTAGAAAAATAAAAATAATCAGAAAATGTGGGATATGAACGTTTTTGTAGATGAGCTAAAGCTGTGAAGCTCACCACTAAAAGGGCCATATTAAAAATCACAGCAAATCTGTGGGCCAGCTGTGTTTTTATTTCATTTTTACTTAACAATTTGCCACGACCACAACTGACCATTGTTTATTCAAAATATGCCAAAACTGCAACAGGAAAATGGGCATTAAAAAGTTTTCCAAAAATAATTCTAAATAAAAATAAATTGTTTCGGGTGTTTTTTAAACTGCCTGTTTTCTTGAACTAGACACCAGGCATCTCTTCTTTTTTGTGTAACCGCTGACCCATAGATTGTTGTTGGGGGTCAGAATGCACACTGTGTTGCAGTGCATGCTGGGGACTGTAGTGCATCTCAGGGTGACATGGGCTAATAAGAATAATATAGAATTAAAATAATTTCATGGGCCGAATAGGACTGTCACAGGTCTGACTTGGCCCCCGGGGCCTTGTGTTTGACGCATGGGATCTAAGTAAAGTATGACCAGGTGATGTATGAGGAGCGATGGTTCATTACCAGGGGACTGAAGATGTGGCAGTTAACTGTCAAACCAAGATCCAAACCTTCAGAAAGACAGAAGCCGTGGCGCTAGGAATGAACAAAGGGATAAAATAAACAAACCACACAAAAATGACAGAATTTCACATCAAAACAATACATGAAACCAACAGGCTTATAGGTATCAGTGCACTTACAGCAACAGTGTGGTGCAGAGGGACACAGACACCGTCATCAATAGCTGTGCAGTTGGTTTCAATGATGGCAAATTCTGCTCTGATTTTGGACCCACCTCCCACGATCTGTGAACATTGTAAAGTGACCGAATCTCATGAGCGTTGAACTAGATGCTGTTAAAACCGAATCTCCAAGTTCTAGATTGTAACTGAAAAATGTTCTTAACTTTTAACGTACGTTCATGTTACAAGATTTTCTGTAAAGTCATTTTAGAACATTACTATTGGTCTGTTCATCATGACACTTTGACACAAAGGCACAAACAGTAGAAATGGCATCAATTATATTTTCAAATATACAGTCATATGCAACAGTTTGAATACTCTGAGATTACGTTTTGTTGTTTTGACACATCCTGCACAGGGAACAAACTTAAATACATATTTTAAGCAAATTTTAGGACATCATTTCTATGTATTTGCAACATAACTTTTTTCACCGGCCACATTTTACGGTATTTTTTTCCCCACAATATTAAATTCAGCAAATAAACAGTGTGTTTATGTGTAATAGATGTGTATTTATTTCCCTTAGGAATATGTATGTATATTTCTCACTGCTGTCAGAACAAAACCTCCATTTTTGCTGTTTTTCAGTTTTTGACATAATTTTAAAAATGCCAAATGTCCTACACTGTGTGTAAATTTAATGATGAATTTACCAAAAGAACCCCCATGGACCCTCACAGAGCAGGTACTATTTGGGTGGTGGATCATTCTCAGCACTGCAGTAACACTGACGTGGTGGTGGTGTGTTAAGGTGTGTTGTGCTGGTCTGAGTGGATAAGACACAGCAGTGCTGCTGGAGTTTTTAAACACCTCAGTGTCACTGCTGGACTCAGAATAGTCCACCAACCAAAAATATCTAGCCAACAGCGTCCAGTGGGCAGTGTCCTGTGACCACTTATGAAGGACTAGAGGTGGACAGTGAGTGGACACAGTGTTTAAAAAACTCCAGCAGCACTGCTGTGTCTGATCCACTCAGACCAGCGCAACACACACTAACACACCACCACCACGTCAGTGTTACTGCAGTGCTGAGAATGATCCGCCACCCAAATAGTACCTGCTCTGTGAGGGTCCATGGGGGTCCTGAGCACTGAAGAACAAAGTATGCAGAGAAACAGATGGACTACAGTCTGTAATTGTAGAACTACAAAGTGCACCTATATAGTATATATATATATATATATATATATATAGAGAGAGAGAGAGAGAGAGAGAGAGGGAGAGATAGATAGATAGATAGATAGATAGATAGATAGATAGATTGATTGGAATAACACATATTCTTATTTTTAATTATTATTATCATTACCTGAGATGACAGTCGTCCGACCTCAAGAAGTTCAAAAACAGCATTGGAGGTGTTATTTCTGTTGTAGTCGTCCAGTGAGGCTTTGATCAGCTGAGCGGCATCAGTGTCATTAAATGGAATGAGGTAAGGGCAGCCAGCACAGGGGAAATCAGGAGTCTCTGCTCAGCACAACAGCAGTAAAACAGAGAAGATAAGAATGTAAATGTATACATAGTTGACAAATACAGTAAAACACTTTGAACAGCTTTGTGCTGTAGAGAAAGATTAGAGATTATGAGCTCTATGCACTCTTAACCCAACAGTTTGGCCAAAAAGTCATATTTACACAGTTTATGTCGTTTCTCACAGTGTATGACACACAGTTTTCCATGAAGATGGACAAAACATGCACATTAGCCTGAATTTTGTCTCAAACTTACCTTATAGTTAATACTCTTTTTCAAATCAATGGTATTTAATTGGCCACTTTCAAACTGGGATTAATGTAAATTAAAAATGATTCTTCAAGGGTTCTTTAGTAAAGGCAAATGAGTAAACATAAGACCTTTTTCCATTTTGTCTATGTTTATAGAACATAGACACCGCATAATCAAGTGTTTTAGAGATTACTGATTTGAAGCAACTGTCTGATGATTTAGGCCTGCAGTTAGCACCATGCTAATTTGTGTAGATTAGATGTAGATCAGCTACGTTAGCCTCGTAGCTCCAGTGCTAAGGCTAAAGCAAACTTCAGGCACCGAACGTGTCTCGGCTGATCAGTGAGGAGGGAAAAGAGCTTAAATTTGGCCTTTTGCCAAACGAATGCTTTTAAAAAAGCAGTCATAGGACTGAAATGAGCCTCCGTGTTTAACCTGTTTCTGTTTTACACTTGAACGCAACGACAGACAGGACGCCGGCGGCTTTGGAGAGAGCCACGTCGCAGTCGGCCTCCACTGCCTGAGGCGGGGCACAGAGAGAGACAAGAAAGGACACGTTACTGAACATCCAAAACAATCAGAATGAAAGGAAATCTCAGGCTAGACGGCGGTTTACCGTTTCTTGCTTGGTTCTAACTGGGCACAGAGCTGCGGATGTGGGGTCTAGAACATGGCACTTAGTCTCCAGGAACTCCAGCTCCATCTTGTAGACCTCTGTCCCATCAGGCTACAGAGAGACAGACAGAGAAAAATGGAAATAAATTGTGCTGATTAGACTATTTCAAACGTGTTGCATATTGTACCTTTAATTCAGATTTTAATGTCATTTTTAATAATTTAATTAGGATCATCAAGCCAACCTGGACCTTTTTTGCTTTCTTAGTTCATGTTGTTGGTCATATTAAACATGATTCATTATGTTATATCATTTCTTGGTTTCCATGGCTTTAGCCCTGCCTCTAAAACATCTTCTGATTTTTTGATGACATAACATTGCACCAGTGGGCGGGGCAATATAATATTAACCAATCATATCATGGTTCACTTCCTTCCCCTCCCATCACACCCACCTATCTTGGAGAAAAAACACTTAGCTAGATCAGAGAACCTTGCTAATGAAAAGTTATTTAGATAAATATGGATTTTAGCTTATGTAAATAAGCTAATATGTAAATAAGTATTTACATATTTATATGTCTATATATTTATTTAAATATTCACATAATCTGCCTGCAATTGTATGCACATATGTATGCACATCTATTCGATTTTGGATATATTTACATGAGTATTCAAGTTGCAATGCTAAAAAAAAAAACGCACAGTTGTATGCAAAAGTTTAGGCGCCCCTTGTTCAATGATGTTGTAGTGTAAATAAGTGAACACATCCTCTACAGAGAACACACATCTGCACATTTTAGTACACCACTACTGTTTATTCGCTGAATTTAACATATTGGGAAGAAAATAAAACATAAAACGTAGCTTGTGCAAAAGTTATGGCACACTATACGTTTTGTTTAATTGTTTTTCCAATATGTTAAACTCAGCAAATGAATAGAAGCCAACCCTGCATTAAAATTTGCAGAAAAATGCAACATTCAGGTTCGTTCGTAAACTTATTTTAACTTAGAAAATCTTAGAAAGTCATTTGATCTTTTGCGTACGACTATGTTTAGATTACATTAATGAATATGAAGATGAATATTCATGCTAGAACATTTTATAAATATTTTTCATTTTCTGGTCCCTGCAGCTATCAATACTTATATTCCCCACTGGTCTTTTTTAACTGTTCTGTCTTAGCTTTTCTTTAGCTCCAGCTCTGTCCCATCCTCCGCGTACCCTGGGGTAGATCTTGATGTCCTCGATCTGGTTCAGGGCGTACTTGTAGCCATGAGTGTGCTGGCTGTTGATGAAGTCTAGAGCCGCCTGTGCGCCTTCATGGGCCTCCGGGGAGTGGCAGGACGGCAGGGTGACGTTGGGCAGCGGTGGCAGCTTGGCCCAGGAGCCCACCAGCAGGAGGCCGAGGACAGCGAGGGTAGCCTGGAGCTTCATCAGGAGAGCTGCGGTAAAAGCCTTGGTGCTACTCAGCTGCACTTGTTGAGTAAAGGTGACCCGGTGCATGGCCTGCTTGCCATTTATACCCTGCACTTTACCCTTCCTCACATGGGCAGGGTAAATATGAACGCTTCGGACCAACGTTGTGCAAACTGCGTGGGCAGCTTCAGGCAACAGGATGAGGGGGTGTCGGGGTGTCTCAGCCGGAGGGTTCTGTGAAAAATCAAACATAAACTTTTCCCATTTACATTTCAATGTAAACGTCATAATATGTTTGGAGCTTCTTTAGCTTTGCACTGTAGCTACAGTAATGGAAGCTAATGCAGACCGGTTAGCATGGTGCTAACTGAACGTCTAAATCACCACACAGTTGCCTCAAACTGCATGTAATCTCTAAAAGACTGGCATATGTGGTTTCTGACCCCGTATCACACTGTTATCTGTAAACACTGACAAAAGTACAGGCGAAAAAGCTGCTGCTTCTACTGTTTTTAGCTATACTAATGTACTTTTGGCTATGAGTGTCATACAGTGTCAGAAACCACACAGTCAAGCCTATTAGAGATACTGAACACCTCAACACAGCTACAGCTCGTAGCTTATTAGCCACTTTCCATGAATAGAGTTCAATTTATGTTCCATTATGTTTTTAAAAGCAATAATGTGACTCCTTTGTTTACTTCTGTGAAAAGTGAAGGGATCTGTACTTCAATTTAAAATTAAATTATTAAAATTAGCATTTAAATGATCACAAAAATACATAAAATGTATCGTAAATGTAAAGGTATGTATACATAATCTGTATCCACATTTAATATAATGCATTTTGGGCCGTCCCACCAACACTGACATTGACCTTGCCTATGAAATATATACAATAACATTTTCCAGTAACAACATAATTACAATGTTATTTGATTCATTTCCAAGCAATTCTGTGTTGAACGAATGAATTTTTTCCCCTATTAATTTATATAATTTAACTAAAAGTCGTTTTAACCTGTGTCCCACATTTAATGCGCAACCATGTTACCCAAACCTGTTTCCCCCTCGTAAAAATGAAAATGGAACAGTCCATTTATTATGATATATGCAGGAATTCACAACATCTTGCTGTTTTCTGCAGAATGACCACCAGACAGGTCAGTTTTCTCATTTGGTTTTCTCAGTTTACACACTGATTTGGTTGCATTGGTAAAGCTCGATCATTCAACCCTGTTACCAAAATTCTAGTATATATATATATATATATATATATATATATATATATATATATATTTTTTTTTTAAGTATGTAAACTATGTGGTTATTAGTAGTTGGCATGCAACATGTGCACCCTGTCAAGCGGACCTCCCCTGAATGCTGCTTATTTTAGGCTAATTTCGCAACACTTTCAACCCTTTTTAATGAAAATCAAATAAATATAGCTTGAAACAAAGATTTGAATGAAAACATTTTGATTAAAATAATTTTTTAACTTTCCCCTCTGCTCTGTTTTTTTTACTGCGTCTGTGTTCAACCCTGTTATTCAGTCATTTATGGTGAAAATAGTCTGAAAAGCATTTAATTTAGTAGGTTATGTTACCAGAAGGGTTAATTTTTTTAAAGACAAATTGCACCATTTTTGATTTAGAGAGAAAAAAACTCTATAGACTTTGAAACAATGCATGCAAGAAAAACAGAAAACACAAGAAAACTTTAGATTTGTATTATTTATTTGAAAGGTTCTAAAGGCATTTCATAAACATCTGTATTTCTTGCTAGAAAATAAGGAATCCAATCAACACAGGCTTTAAAATTCCATTTATATCTCCTTTAAAATATGTTAATGCAAAGAAATGCTCATATAGCCTCACATATAGCCTCTGATTCAACAGCCTAATGTTGGAAAACATCCCTTTCTGAAGGTTAAGCACTTTGATTTATACTTTGTCAAAAAACTCCAGAGGAAAAAGTCAATGTTTTGGGTTTTGAGGCCTAAAATGAACTCTGCCCACAGGAAGCGCCAGTCAGCACATTTCTAGTTGCTGTACAGAAGCTACATTAGCCTTGTAGCTCAATAAGAAACGTCAGATATGGAACATGCATTGGCTGGGGTTTGTCGGAAACTGTGAAATGTATTTATTAATTCATTTATTTTTGAATTTTGAACTCCAAATCTGCCAATCTTGCATACTTTAGCTGCATTTGGAGAATTCCTTGCTCATGTCTGAGAATGTGTCCACCGGTTACAGTGCTGGACGGCCGCTGCTGCCCTCTGATCCGGCCGTGTAGACAGAGTAAATATTACGCCGCAAGAACGGACGTTTAACTGGTGTCAGCTCAGGTCTCAGACAACAAGTTTGTTCCCGTTTTCACAGATAACATCCAGGTCCACCGGCCATCGAGTTCAGCCTCACATGCAGCGCACTGAACAGCAAACGTGTGGAAGAAAACAGGCAATTTGTGCTTCTTTTACTTTCAAAGGTGTTTTATAATTACAGCAAGTCAACAACCAACACATTTACTGCCATATTTAGTTTAACCAGAGCACTTTGTTCCAGAATATTCCATTGGTGTTGCAGTGCTGTACTTAAGTGCAGGGGCGCCCAAACTTTTAGTCCTGTGGGGCCGAAGTGCATGGTGGGCTGACGGCCAAAAAGACAAAACATTGTACAAATAAGTTTTTTACAGGTTACAAGGTTTTTAAGTACAGTATTTTATAACATTACCCTTTTATTTTGTTAGCAAAATACTAAAAAATACTATTTAAAAGGAACAATAGGAAAGTGCATTTCCTGAACAGAATGCAGTGACTGCACAGCTTAAAGTTGCACTACGTAAGATTTGTTAAAATTGAAAGAATGCGCATTACTGAGTCAAGAAGGGGAGAAACCTGCTAAAATGTGGCGTTCTTGTTTTAGCTATAGCTAACGTTAGCTGGCTAATTCGCTCATATTAACCCATTACTTTGCTAACAGTGTCTTTTTTGCATCAGAGTTCATTCTTTTTGGAAAACTTGTAATTGTGACGTTCCTTTAGCTGTATAGCTGACGTTAGCTGGCTAATTTGCTAATATTAACAGATCACTTGGCTAACAGTGTCTTTTTGCTTCAGAAAACGTCAGGGAAACTGGTAACTGTAAAGCTGTTTTAGCTGTATAGCTAACGTTAGCTGGCTAATTCGCTCATATTAACACATTACTTTGCCAACAGTGTCTTTTTTTGCGTCACAGTTCACTCTATTTGGGAAATTTCTAATTGTGAAGTCGCTTTAGCTGTATAGCTGATATTTGCTGGCTAATTTGCTAATATTAGCCCATTACTTTCCTAACAGTGTCTTTTTTTGCTGCATAGTTTGTTTACTGTTTGGGAAACTTGTAACTGTAAAGTTGTTTTAGCTGTATAGCTAATGCTAGCTGGCTAATTCAGTAATATGAGCTGATTACTTTCCTAACAGTGTATTTTTTGCTCCAGAAGTCATTCTATTTGGGGAAACTTGTAATTGTTAAGCTGTTTTAACTGTACAGTTAACTTTAGCTGCCTAATTCACTAATATTAGCCCATTACTTTCCTAACAGTGTCTTTTTTTGCTGCATAGTTTGTTTACTGTTCGGGTCCCTTGTAATTATAAAGTTGTTTTAGCTGTATAGCTAATGCTAGCTGGCTAATTCACTAATATGAGCTGATTACTTTGCTAACAGTGTCTTTTTTGCTCATTCTATTTGGGGAAACTTGTAATTGTTAAGTTGTTTTAACTGTATAGTTAACCTTAGCTGCCTAATTTGCTAATATTAGCCCATTACTTGGCTAACAGTGTCTTTTTTGCTTCAGAGTTCTGTGTTTGTGAAACTTGTAAAGTTGTTTTAGCTGTATAGCTGACGTTAGCTGGCTAATTGGCTAATATTAACAGATTACTTTGCTAACAGTGTCTTTTTGCTTCAGAAAACGTCAGGAAAACCTTGTGAATTGTGAAATTGCTTTAGCTGTGTAGCTGACACTAGCTGGCTAATTCGCTAATATTAGCCCATTACTTTGTTAACAGTGTCTGTTTTGCTTCAGAGTTTGTTTTCTGTTTGGGAAACTTGGAATTGTTAAGTTGTTTTAGCTCTACAACTAACATTAGCTTTGTTAATATGAGCTGATTACTTTGGTGTCGTTTTTGCTTCAGAGTTCGTTCTCTATTGTTTGAGAAGCCAGGCTCACCATTATTCTCAGATAACGTCCTGTGCTACCGTCTGTCTCCTTTCATAAACGCAACCAATATAACATATACTCGGCTAACATTGCAGTCCATTGAAGTTATGGTAACTTTATGGCGTGCCAAATTAAACATGGCAGAAATACCCAGACAGCGAGCATATATCGGTCCACTGGCTTGATGAGGTCGACACCCCGCCGGCTATTTGCCACTGCTGGTCCACCCTCGGACCACCCAGATTACTGTCCTGCATACAAGCTCTACCTAGTTTTTAATCTCCTCAAACAGATTTTAAACGAACAGCCTTTTATTTTAGATAAATGAACTAAGACAAATATTACAAACAACTAAGAGCAAAAAAATAATGACTGGGCCTGATGTGAAATGATTTTATAGAAAATGTTGTTGCTGACACTGTTAAAATTATTTTACTGATTAAAATGATTTACTAAACTAATTTACCATGTATAACTACAGAAAGCTGGTAAAGTAAATTGGACTACGAGTAGAAAATGAGTGATACGTGGAATTTTGTCTAATACTCTGCTTAACCACCGGTGGCCAACAGTGGTCCACTATCCTCTTGCTATCAAGGTAGATATCTGAGTGGAGGCTTAAGTGATGGACATGGGTCGTATGAATAGTAGTGTTAGTTAGCTATCAGTTATCAGTGGTGAAGCAGGTAAACATATACATACTTTTCCCTGCAGTTATGAACAGAGCAGTTTAGATAAAACAAAATGTTCTTCTATATGTTTTGTGCAGTTACATATTTCCACCAGAGAGGTCGCCAATTCCCCAAATTTGCCAAACATACACTGTTTTAAGCTATTATAGCCTAAGCAGTGTGAGTGAGTGTGGCTAGATGGTGTTGCTGTGGTATTTTAGGTGGTTCGTGCTATTTTCCTCACCGAGGTGGAATAAAAATCAGCCAAGTACAGGCAGTTCTGATGCGATGTGGTTTTGAAGGCAACATATAGTACGGAAACAGCTAATGCCAGCTAGTCAACTAGTTTATTGCAACTGTGAGTGACAACATCATTTTATCTGAGGAGCAGAAAGAAGAGACCACAGCCCCGCCCTCTTGTTTTCCACTGGCTTGTGTTTTATAGGTTAGCGAATCCACAGGGATCATGAACTCAGATTGAAGCAGAATTAACCGCTACTAGAATTTAGTTCTTTTTACGCTGACTTCGCTTTTGCCTGTCAAATTTTACTTATGCAAAATTTGGCTGCGGCTTTGGGTGAAATGAGGTATGTCCCAATTCAGGGGCTGCATCCTTCGAAGGGCGCAGCCTATGAAGGCGTATCTTTGAAAAGCCGTGTAGACCCGCCAAGGCTGAACTGAAATGAGAAGGTCTGCTCTATGGTGGATTTGCTGTTTGTGTCACAGCACCACTGTGAAACGCCGCTCCTGTCAAGTTCTTTTAAAGTTCTTTAAAGATGGAACCAGAAACTTTGATTTTAGTTTTTATTTTTTTCATTTATTAGAGCTGGAGATGCTTCACTGCTGGCATCTGCACATTAGCGTGAGTTTTGCTTCAGACCACATTGGCTTTTGTTAACATCCGTATCGTTCGCTATTTGACTCAGTTTAAACCCAATACTTACATTTAAAGTGTCTCCTCAGCCGCCGTTTGCTCCTCTACTGGCGGCACCATGTTCTCGAATCCTCCCTGGCAAGCAGTGAACCTCGGGATATGTTGGCTGGTGAAGGACCCACACGTTGGATCCTTTGTTGCCATGGAAAAGAAGGACACATTTCTAGGCCGCGTATGAAGGAGTCTTCGAAATGGGCCGGCCTAGTCGCGCCACTGTGACGCAATCGGCCTTCAAATGCAGCCTCCGAAGGACGCAGCCCCTAAATTGGGACGCAGCTACAGTGTTTCAGGTGGTTGCTAGAGCATGTCTAGTCATTTGCTGTGTCTCTAATGGTTGCTAAGAGGTTGCCGTGGTGCTTCAAGTGGTTGCTATTCATGGCTATAAAAATATGTTTGTTCTCTCATGGGGGAGGCGGTGAAGTTATGGTGACTTTTTGGCGTACCAAATCAAACATCCTGAGAAGTCAACTTTGACCCGCAGGCCACACTCTGGGCAGCCCTGATCTAGCTTATTCTATTTAAACAGGCTTGTGTGTTTTTATGTACTTAGCTCTGCTTTCAAACTTTTGGCCTGTAGAGCAAACAATCCCCTTTTCACAATCAGATCACAAGGCTTGTTTGCACTAATCAGACAAACACAGCTTGAGATTTAGTGACTTTTTTTAATGAGATCTGCACAAACTTTGAGAAATATTGTTGGTCTCTGACTGTCAAATCATTACAAATGGGCAACGGCTGATAGCAGTTCAGTCTACAGATGTTAAGTATTACACTCTCTTGTATGCCCTCTATCCTGTAAACTACATTCTTTGGATTCTTTGGGGACATCATGGAGAAGCCGGGAAGAAGAGCAGTCTACTGCACTGCATGAGTGGAATGGCAAATGAATTCTATTCCAGACCTCCAGGGGGTGCCACTGCATGAAGAACAATACCATAACAGCTCTGTTCATTCATAACCTCCTTCACTTTGCCTTTTAAGGTAAAAAGGGCCAGTTTAGAGACTGTAGTGAACCTCGTGGGCCAAAGTAAACAGACCGTTTCAGAGGGCACGCATACTCGGAACATGAGAATACTCTTCCACCGGCTTAGAAGGATCTGAGGCGTTAACACCAAGCAAACATGAACAACTTTGGTCTGCATATTTACTCATTTTGCATTTTTCACATACAAAACAAATGCACAACAATTGGCTTAAAAAATTATAGGAATTTGTGAAAAAAATATTATAAGGCACAAATCAGCCTCCTACGTCAGGTTATACTAGGCTTCTGAAATGCATATGAATGTAATGCTATTATACATCTTTACACCATGTCTAAAAAGCTCAGTTTAAATATAAGAAAGATAAAAGTGTATTAAAATTCATGTTGATGTTCTGGAGTTCACAGCATACATTCACTGGCCACTTTATTAGAAACGCCCACCTTGTGCTTTTATTAACTGGCCACTTTATTAGAAACACCCACCTTGTGCTTCCACTCACTGGCCACTTTATTAGAAACACCCACTTTGTGCTTCTGCTTACTGGCCACTTTATTAGAAACACGCCCTTTGTACTTTTACTGACTGGCCACTTTAAGAGAGACACCCACTTGCTGCTTCCACACACTACAGACTTTATTAGGAACACCAACCTTGTGTTTCCTCTAACTGGCCACTTTATTAGAAACACCTACCTTGTGCTTCCACTTACTGGCCTTTTTATGAGAAACACCCTCCTTGTCCTTCCGCTCACTGGCCACTTTATTAGAAACGCCCACCTTGTGCTTCCACTAACTGGCCACTTTGTTAAAAACATCTACCCTACAGTATCGGTGTACAGCCCTGACGCACCAAAATAGATGCACCTTATTGGTCTTATTCATTTTGAACAATGTGATGTTCATATTTTTCTATTTTTCTCAGCGTATTCTGCTTCTCTCCAACACATCTCTCCAAAGCAGAAAAGTAACCATGGGGGGGCCCTGTTGTTTTTCCCTCCCCATGAGAACCTGAAGAACCATGTCAGGAAACCCCTCCAGTGCAAAAGAAAATGGTACATTCACTCCTTACGGTGCCTTCAGACTTCTGTCTGAAAAGTCTGAAAATTGTCACCAGAGTTTTCATTGAGGTGTTAATTGGTGGAAGATTGATCACATAACCAATACACATATTCACTGAGCTGGACCAATGCCAACTCTTCTGTCTTCATGTGGATTCAGAGATTGTTCTGGATGATACCTCATGGAATCTACCTTACACTCTTAATAAGTTCTTCATGGGTTCTTTAGTAAAGATGAACCATTCGCATGCCTTAAGGGTTCTTTGCATTGTGAAATGGTTCTTCAGATTGACAGAGAATGTGTTGTGCATGGTTCAATATAGTGCTAAAATGGGTTCTTCTACTGCGACAATGTCAAACTTGTAACAATAAAAGAACCCTTTTCAAAAAGGTTCTATATAGCACTGTATACAACACATTCTGAATCCATCTGAAGAACCATTTCGTGATGCAAAGAAACTTATAAGCATGCAAAGAGTTCTTTGAGTGCTGATGGTTCTATATAGAACCACTGTCTTTACTAAAGAACCTTTGAAGAACCATCTTTTTTAAGAGTGTACTTCTATTCAAGACATCCCTGTATTTTACAATGACCACTTGACCACCCCAAGACACACATATTAGGGCCCACATTCTCCAGCCTCAGTCCTGTAGTTTGGGCTCTCAGGTCTACTCGTCATTTGCAGCGTTCCACTCGATCTCCGGGTCGTCGTCCAGGCGGAGGATGAGGTAGGACAGCAGCTGGAAGATGTTCTGCCACAGCAGCAGGAAGACGTAGAGGTAGAAGTCGCTGACGTCGATCTGACAGTGTTCTCCTGCGAAGCTCATCTCACACATGCACTGGAACTTGTTGATGAGGTTCCGGCAGTAGCCTCCGTTCAGACAGGGGTTGGAGGCGCACTCGTCCAGCTCCATCTCACACCTACGGAACAGGATGTCTCAGCAGTGGCTTCACACGAGGGGCTCTAGCTCTTTTATCAAGCACCATCTTCCTACATTCAGCTGCTCAACTGCTAGTTGGCTTATTATTTGAGCAAGTGCTCAAGCTGAAGAGAAACTGCAGCATAAAGTTTAGATTAAGTTTATACAGTGTCAGGGCCAAAGTGGGACTTTAAAAAGCTGACTAAAGTCTGTTTCTTAAATGTGTCAAAATCATGCTGCAAATTATATTAAGTAACTTAAATTAATGTCCTGTCAACGTTTCTGCCACAGCAGGAGGAAGACGTAGAGGTAGAAGATATGACATCATCACAGTGCAACATTAGTGTCCTACCAATAGACAAATTTTGCTGATTTGTAATTATTGTATAATAAACAAATCATTTCCATTTGGTTTGTATGTCATATTTTAATAGTGCTGGACATGTACACTGTTTTAAGTCTTAACAGTCAATATTCCCTTTAACTACACTCTTAAAAAAGGGTTCTTCAAGGGTTCTTTAGTAAACAAAATGGTTCCATATAGAACCATGAACAATCAAAGAACCATTTGCATGATTAAAGGTTTCTTTGAATCATGAAAGTGTTTTTCAAACTGATGGAGAATGTGTTCTGTATAGAACCTTTTTGAAAAGGGTTCTATGTAGCACCAAAAAGAGTTCTGCTGTTGTCATGATATGAGCTTGTAACAATAGAAGAAACCTTTTCAAAAAGGTTCTATATAGAACCATATACAACATATTGTCCATCAGTTTGGAGAACCCTTTCATGATGCAAAGAACCCTTTAATCATGCAGACTTCATGCAGAATCATGCAGGTTCTTCGAGGGTTCTTCAGTAAAGAAAATGGTTCCATATAGAACCATGAATACTCAAAGAACCCTTTGCATGATTAAAGGGTTCTTTGCATGATTAAAGGGTTCTTCAAACTGATGAAGAATGCGCTGAAGATGGTTCTATATAGAGCCTTTTTGAAGAGGGTTCTATTTAGCACCAAAAAGGGTTCTACTGTTGTTATGATATGAGCTTGTAACAATAGAAGACCCCTTTGTAAAAAAGGTTCTATGTAAAACCATATACAACACATTCCTCAGTTTGAAGAACCTTTTAATCATGCAAAGAAAACTTTAAGCATGCAAAGCGTTCTTTGGATCACTGTACATGTGCTGCACATGGTTCTATTTAGAACCTTTTTGAAAATGGTTCTGTATAGCACCCAGAAGAGTTCTTCTATTGTTACGAGGTCAAGCTTGTAACAACAGAAGAGCCCATTTTAAAAAACATTCTCCATGGTTCTATATGGAACCATTTTCTTTACTGAAGAACACTCGAAGAACCACCTTAATCTGATGATCTCTCGAGGCTGATGTTAGCTTCCTTTGGGAATTGCTGCTCCACCTTAAATAGTGCAGCCCAAACAGGCATCTGAATGTTAGTGCTACATCATTTAAGGTGGAACGCTAAATAAGAATAAGGCTTATCTGATCTCTGTCCACTGTATGAGTTACAATCAGCAAACCAGGGCTGTAGATGTTGGTGGGGGCTGCTGGTTTACCCCTTAAATTGCTACAGATCCCCCCGGGAATCCCCCCCGATTACCCCGAACAAAGAATGTCAGTTTATTATTGTTATTTTGAGCATTGGCCATTCTTACCACTGTCCAGTGAAACCAGGCAGACAGTCACATGTGTCCTCCAAAGTCGAGCAGTTCCCACCATTAAAGCAGCTGTAATTCCACCTCTCGTTCCCGCAGACGGAGACCGGCAACTTAGGATACCTAGAGGAGGAGATAATAGCCTATATCAATACAGCAAACAGACGTTTCTCCATTCTGTTCAGATTAATGTGGAAATATTGATGGGAAATGTCGATGAAAGTTGCTAAATGTGCCACTCACGGGATCCTGTCGATGTACCAGGGGAGTTCTGGAACTCTTTCTCTGAAATAAACATTAAAAAAAGGTCATGTAACCTCAAAACAACAAGCTTTTCTTTTAGCCCTGTAAGACCAAACAAGCCCTCTTCAATAACTTTCCCACCATTTCACATCAGATCCAGAGAAGCTGATCTTCCTGAGTGATTCTGCATTCAATTCTAAGGATCAATCAACACTGCCCTGCAGAAAATGATATCTTGGCAAGTGGAAACATTGAAAATGCCGTTAATAAAATTGAATATTTCTCATTATGAGGTGGTTGTAAGAATATTGTAAGACTATTCGTCTATTTCTAGACATTTTACTTTTGATTAAGCATTTTTATCTACAGAAAGTGCCTTTTTCTAATGGAGAATATGTTTGCTTCTAAAAAAAAAGAAAAAAGTTACCTGAATTATTTCTCAAAGCAAGTAAAATTATCTACCAGAGGAATAAGACAGTTTCACTGGATAGAGTTATCTAAAATGATCTAAAAGGCCACTTTATGAGCTATAAAAATAACCATATATAGCTTATAAAGAAGGAGTAATCTCATAATTGGTATACAACATTCTCAAAATGATAAAAAAATAAATATATTGATCAGATTTGATTGTTTTTACTTGCTGAGATATCATTTTCTTTGCAGTGTACATCTTTACTGATTGACCACTATTATGCAATCCACATTTTTTGCAGTAAAAGTGTAAGTACTAGTTAATTATATTTATTTTGCATACTATTTTTTTATATTTTATATCGAATATTTGTGTAAATAAGTGGTATCACTGAAAAGCTTGTGATAAATCAGAGAACATAAATCTGAGACTGTGTGATACATCCAAGGTGCGAAATACAGGGGGGCCTGAGGGTCCTCCTAATTAACTGTTTGGACCCCTGGAATATCTCAAAATCAAAATTCTGACCTATTATGATACTATGCTGACCGTTAGGGTAAAATAGACGCTCAACTACAAATGCAGCTCATTGTTTATCTGCTTCACCCACAATCAGCTTCTGTCTTTGCTGTTCTTAAGTAACTAGAGCTGCAGCACTGCTCTGCCTCAGGGTGGTGCTGTAGCAGACTGGTTCACCCAGTTACTCCTTCATAACCTAGCAACTAAGGCCAGGTTTTGTATCTATTGAAGCATCAGCACCACTGGTGAGTGAATTAGAAGCCAGTTAACACAGGACCCCTCGAATCCTGTGGGCTATTTTGCACAGATACATCCAAGTTGCCGTCAAAAGATTTAGGCCCAATCCCATTTCACCCCTCGGACCTACCACTTAGCCCTTTACGCGTTCACGTCTAGGGGCAGGGTGTCCCGAGTCTTATTAAGATAGGGGTAGAGCGAAGTGTTGGGGCTACATGACCCTCCAAACTGAGGTTTTTCAGAGACTCCAAACAGAGTGATATGAGAAAAACAGAAAACTGGCAAGATGGCTGAGAGAGAGACCAAAGAAACCCACAAATGTAAAGTATTATGGTCATTTTCTTCATAACAAGCATGTCTTGGTAGCTAGCTAAGTTTCCCGTTCCACCTTAAATGAAGCAGCAGATAACCTGGCTTCAGCTTTGTATAACTGAAGAATTGGGGGAGGGTGATAATAAATAATTGCCCCCCTCTTTGAAGGCATATGATTCCCTAAATGTAACTAAAGCCCAGCAGTGAGGAGCTGAACTTTACCCTCCTCTGCTGTCACTGCAGACTGGCAGGGTCGCCTACAGAGCAGCGCCAGTAGCTGTTAATGAAGTGATGCTCTTTTTATTTGAGGGTCCCATTTCAGAGGGAAGATTTCAACCACTACCTCTTCTAACTCAGTTCTAGGGGGCAAGGTCACAATTGAAAACGAGGGGTGAAAATAAGTGGGGTTGGGCCGTACTGTACCTACATGGCCACTTAGGTCTGACAGAGTTAAGAAAGGAGGTCCCACTCACTTGCAGTGAGGTCCAGTTGTGTTTCTTGGGCAGAGGCAGGCATATTGTTTGAGCCCTCTGAGACAGGTGCCTCCATTGCTGCACTTGTGTCCCGCGCACATGTCCACCTCTTCCTCACAGCGCTGACCAGTGTATCCCGACTCACACAAGCACTTGTAACCCTCAGGGACCACACTGCAGGACCCGTGGATGCAAGGGTTCGAGAGGCAGGCGGCAGTGTTCTCGCACGTCTGGCCGGTCCAAAGAGATGGGCACCGGCACTGGAACAGGTCAAAGAGGTCCTGGCATTCGCCTCCGTTCTGGCATGGGTTGGGGTCACATACTCTGGATCCCTGGCAACCGAAGCTTGGACTTCCAGAAGTCCTCAGAAACTGCTCTTCCTGAGGCCTGGGCAGGTTGAGCTCAGTCTGGCTGTAGAAAGGCAGTGAAAGGCTGCCAATCTCCACCAAACCCAAGCACCCCTCCAGATTCGCCCAAGGGCCCGAACCGCCCAGCAGGATGTCCACGTCTTCTCTCAGAAAGTCCAGATCTCCAGAAGCTACAGAGGATACTGAGGCCTTCTCCTGGTCCAGAACCATAGTCCAGGTGGAGCTCTCCAGAGCTGGATTGTCCATGCTCAGGACGGCGCTGTGCCACTGTCCATCGCTCACTGCAGTCTGGCTCTGCACTCGCAGCAAGGGGGCGCTCTCTCTGACCTGCAGCTCAAGGAGAAGCCATTCAAATTTACATTTGTGTAAACGATATAGAAAAAAATCCTGCTTAAAATGAACAGATGCCAATTCTTGGTAGTATAAGTAAGACACAACAAGGACAGTAGTAATAGTGGTTATAGATGAAGAAGCCTGAATTTTGTCCTTAATCTATTTAAATCCAAAGCTGATAGTAATGCATACAAATATATACAATATATACAAGCTACATATATACAAAATCATAATTACTTTCTATTGAGAGGTGTCTGTCCCAAACCCCAACACCTAAAATTACACTTGTGGAAATAATACTTTTACCAATATTATCTAATAATAACATCTTTTTGGATATTTTTAATAAATTTTTATTTTTTTTAAGGTGAAGGTGAAACGTTTACATTGATCATGAGTTTAGTTTTTGAATTAAAAAACCTTCAAAATTCAAAAAATGATGTGCTCATGTCACCACCGAAACACAGAAATTTAATCAGGGGGCGGGGCCCCTATTTTAGCCACACCCCTGCATTTTAGAGCAGGAAGTGAGGCTGCATCCCTGTGTCTCATGGCCACATGGCGAGCAGTTAGATCCCACTGTTTTGAAGTAAATGTGTCCCAAAAGTGTGAAAATCAGTGTGAAATGTTAAGAATTGTCACTACGAAACACAGATTTTGTGCAGTTAAGTAAACTTTTGTGTTTTAATAAAAATAGGATGATTTTATGTGTGCGCAGCTGTTCAAAGCTGTGTTTGCTAGTCTGGCTGCATTTTTGAGTTCAGTTCAAAATGAGCTAAACTTGTCACTCCTGAAACATTCGGTAGTCTTAGGTAGAGTTATGATTGTTTTGGTATTGACAAAATGGAATGTTCAATAATTCGTTTTAATTAAATAAACATAAATAAGGTACATGGTCACTCAAAGCAAAAGGATTTTAGTCCAAATTCCAAATGAGTTAAAAGTCCGAAATGCGTTTCAGCTCTGACTTTAAACCAGTTTGGTAGGAAGATCCATATGAAGATTTAGAAAACAGTAACTTTTTCTTTTCCAATGGCAAATCCTGTTAATATTCATGCATGAATTTATATAACAAGGTCATGTGCTACAACCTGCAGCTCCAGAACCAGGAGTCCGTCCTGGAGGGAGACGGTGATGAACTCAGACTCCCGCTCTGCGTGGAGCAGGGTGGCGTTAGGCTTCCTTGTGCGGAAACTCAGGGAGACACTATGGAGGAACCGCCGGATTTTCCCGTTGCCTCTGTGAGTGATTACGGGGCTGCCGTCACGGAGGGTAGCGTTTGTAGCACCTGTGAAGCAGACAGGACATTCAGTCATGCTTCCCCAGACTGATTTACTGCAGCACTCTAAAGCAGGTGTAACACAGGGTGTCCAGTTCTGATCTTGGGGGCTTCAGTCCAGCACAGATGCTCATCTAGTCATTTTTAGGCTCAGGTCTCACAGAGTTAAGAGAGGAGGTCCCACTCCTTTACCACTGTAAAGACACCATTGTGTCATTAAGTCCCTACAATGAATCATTTAACACCCCATATGAAAAAAAACAAATATGTACATTTATTTTTATATGTTTGAAATACATTTCAAATACATTGCAGTTCAAACTGAACACTAAAATGTATTTCAGAACATATTGCCATGTTAACTAAACATATTTTAATATACACTTATTTTAAAATGTATGGGGAAATATCACACATAGAAATGTACCATACAGAAATAAATGTATGTAAATTTATCTATCAAATATATTTGAAAATGTATAAAAAACAAAATCCTGTCTGATGCTCTTCACTGTCTGATACCTTTAGAAATGAATTTGTATTCCAGTGTCTTAATTGTAAATATGATCAAATGATCCTTTAACAGGACAGAAGCGAGTGTTGTGGGTATTGATCCTCTGTGAAAATGCAGTTATGATCTGATATCTTGTTTATTTGAAATACATTGTGTGTGAGAGTCTCACTGCAGACGTACATGGTTAATGTAAAGTACAATGCAGATCACAGAAGTCAGCATTGTTCATTCAGCTACTGTATATGTAGTTGTATCTGTAATCTTTGTTAAAACTACATACAACTGAAAAAATGCATAATAACAAGTACAAATAAATACATTTTAAAAATATACTTAACAAATATATTTTTGGCCATTTTCATACAGTGCAAAAATATATTTGATAAATACATTTGGGATATATTTTTTATCCATATAGGACCAAACCACTCTGAATGACCGTTTACACTGAATTATGCAGCAATTTTACAAATTTGGTGGAGTTTCCCTTTTAATGCAGAAAATAATTTTGCTTTTCATCCTGAAATATGACACTGACATATCCAAAAGTGGGGCCTGGGGTGGTATAAGAATGTGCACTGGCAAAAAGGGCCACTAAGCCAATTAATCATTGGGAATTTATGGCCACAATATTAGAAAAATGGTTATCATGCAGTTATATGCAAAAGTTAGGGCACCCTAGTCACATTAACATAAAATGAGGCCAAAAATGTCTGTTTTATTTTTTCCCGTATGTTAGACTGAGTTCAGCACACAGACAGACACGCTGAGGTTAATCCAACACGAGATAATCCCCGGCTCCCACAAATCCTGAGTAGTTCTATAGCAAGATGTAATAATCACAAAAGATTTATGTAATCAAACTGACTGTAGATGACGCATTACAATCTGTCATTAAAGGGCCATTCCACCCATTTTTCAGTTCTGCATAATTAAAAAGGTTAAGAAGTGAAATGCTCTGTTCACAGTGTTGGTGATAGGAACCAGGCGTCCAGCTCTAAAAGCTCCCTCACTGAAAGTTGTTGCAGGGTGTCGTGGGGCAAAATAGTCCCCAAAGAAAACGCATTCTAAGCCCTAGAACTCCTCAATTTAGGGAGAAAATTGCCACTGAATTAGGAGCCCTTTGGGCCAAAGAGTCAGCTCTTCATGCGCCAAGCTGATCGTTCTGACTCACTGAAAAGAGCTGGAATACCCATCAGTATTTTGGGGGGCTCTGTCAAAGTTCCTCCTTTGCTTGATGGAGGAATGTTTAGAGATGATTATGGTTGGCTGTGAGGTGTGTCAATCATGATTTGTCAATTAAAGCAGCACTGTGTAATATTTTTTGTTAAAACTGAAAGATGTAGCATTACTGAGTATGGAGAAAAAAGAACCCACTAAAATACGATAAGTGTGCACTGCTGTGAGGCATTTTGTGGGAGTTTTCAGACAATGTCGTACGTCTTTATGTATTAGTGTCAGAAGCAAAGGCTCAGAAAGAAGATCGGACTCAGTGTTTAGGCCTCAAATGCAAAATGCTCCTCTGCATGTTGCATGCAATTACATATTTCCACCAGAGGGGTCTCCAAATCTCCAGATCTTAAATAGTGCTGCTTTAAAAAGGCTGTTTTTGTTACACTCTCAAAAAGGTACTAAACTGTACCTAAAACTTATTTAAGGTTCACAATCAGACCTTAAAACCACTGTTGGAGCTTTGAGGAAACATTTACATTGTTTGTACCTTGATGAACGAAAAATGTACTTTTTTCTGCCTTTAAGACTGATATATGTAAATGAGCTCTGTTCTGATTGGTTGCCCTGTATTGTGTCTCATTCAAAAAGCAATCCCAGCTGAAAAACTCCTCATAGCTTCAGCGTAAGAAACTGCTTTACATTCTTAAAACAGATGGTTCTTCAAGGGTTCTTTGGTAAAGAAAATAGTTCCATATAGAACCATGAGCACTCGAAGAACCCTTTGCATGATTAAAGGCTTCTTTGCATTGTGGAAAGGTTCTTCAGATTGATGGAGAATGTGTTGTATATGGTTCTATATAGAGCCTTTTTGAAAAGGGTTCCATATAGCACCAAAAAGGGTTCTTCTATTGTAACAAGCTTAACATCGTAACAATAGCAGAACCCTTTTTGGTGCTACACAGAACGCTTTTCAAATAGGTTCTATATAGTCCAGTTTAGTCCAGAGAGAGAATTCTGGCCAGGAATAAAGTCTCGAGTCACACTCACACTCAAAGCCCTGGCTGTGTGTCTGACAGGCCGCGGTGGAGGGACAGGGAGACAGATCACACCACTTCACCCGCTCACAGCGCCGCCCTGCTGTGTTGGGAGGGCAGCTGCAGGTGAAGTCGTCCCACATGGAGTAGCACACTCCGCCGTTCAGACACGGGTTTTTCTGCAAAGACAACAGGACAGGATCGATCTCAGCTCCACATACGGCCTGGTGGCATCTAGATACTGAGTTCTTTTGAGGGATGAACACTCACAGCAGTGCTGCTGGAGTTTTAAACACTGTGTCCACTCACTGTCCACTCTATTAGACACTCCTACCTTGTCAGTCCACCTTGTAGATGTAAAGTCAGAGACGATAGCTCATCTGCTGCTGCACAGTTTGTGTTCGTCATCCTCTAGTCCTTCATCAGTGGTCACAGGACGTTGCCCACAGGACGCTGCCTACAGGACGCTGCCCACAGGACGCTGCTGGCTGGATGTTTTTGTTTCTCAGTCCAGCAGCAACACTGAGGTGTTTACAAACCCCAGCAGCACTGCTGTGTCTGATCCACTCAGAGCAGCACCACCACGTCAGTGTTAACGCAGTGCTGAGAATGACCCCCCACCCAAATAGTGCCTGCTCTGTGGGGGTCCTGTGGGGGTCCTGACCACTGAAGAACAGGGTGACAAAGTATGCAGAGAAACAGATGGACTACAGTCTATAACTGTAGAACTACAGAGTGAAACTATATGGTCAGTGTAGCTGATAAAGTGGACAGTAGAAACAAGTGTAGAAACAAGGAGATTGACTTAATAAAGTGGACTTTCGGTGTATACATATATATATATATATATATATATATACACAATTAGGAGACATTCTGCATATGTTAAGTAGCCTCATGCTCTGAGACTCTGAGAATAGCACTGGGTTTTAGTGTGTTGTGACTGAGTTGCGTAACTAGGTGGCTTACACTGCAGGAGTTATCTCCAGTGCAGCCACGGGTGACCTCCACCATGTTCTCCGGGCTGTAGGAGCTGACCGTGGTGTTGATGGGGTAAAACTGCAGGCGCCTGAAGCCCAGCCGCAGGTCCTGGACGCAGCCCTTAAAATACCCCCCAAAGGCCAAAGAGGCTTTGCGGTCTGGCAAGCCTCCCACATGAACCGTATCTCCGGCCTGCACCACCAGCCTCCGGATGGCCACGCTGCCCTGGGGTTTGGCCGACTGAGCGAGGCTCAGCTTCCCCGGCTCCAGGAACACGCTGACCAGATGGAAGTGGCCATCATTAATGATGTCCTGGCCCAGCAGGCTTTCGAAGTTGTTGATTTGAACTTTGACCTTTCTGTCCTCCAGCCACAGGCGAAGGTACTGGCTGGTGCTGTTGGAGAGGACGAGGAGCAAACCCTGCGGCCGACGAGTGCGCACGAACATGGACACAGTGAAGGAGTCTCCAGGCTCATCCGGCACAGAGAAGACAGCGTAGCTCTCCAAGTCCTCATTTCCGAAGCGAGCGGCGATGTACTCTGCAGAGAAATGAACACAGACACTGTCACCGGACCCCAAGAACTCTAGGGGTCTGACTGTAGGTCCACACTTCAGTTCCTCACAACTACAGAGTACTGATGGGTTCATAGTAGATACTGAATAAAGAATGGTGCTTACTGAACAACTCATAGAACGTAATGATTAATTCATACTAGATTCTGATACCATTGGATTAATTTTAATAACTGAACAATTAATAGTACTTACAGAATAATCTATAGTAGACACTGAATAACTCATAGAATGTAATGATTAATTCATACTACATTCTGATACCATTGGATTAATATTAGTAACTGAATAATTCATAGTACTTACATAAGAATCCATAGTAGATGCTGGATAGTTCATAGAATGTAATAATTCATACCAGATACTGACACTGAATAATTAATATAGTTACTGAATAATTCATACTAGATATTGTATAATCCATAATACATACTGATACTGAATAATTCATAGTAAATACTGAATAAGTCAAAGCTGATACTCAATAATTCATAGTAGATGCTCAATTATTAGTACAAGATAGTGAGACTGAATATTTCATAGACACGGAATAATAATTAATAGTACACACTGATACTGAATAACTCATAGTAGTTACTGAATAATTCATACTAGATACTGATACTAAATATTTCATAGCAGACATTCAGCAAGTCATAGTAGATACTGATACTGAGTATTTCATAGTGAATATTGAATAAGTCAAGGTAGATACTGAATAATTCATTATAAATATTAAATAAGCCAAGGCAGATACTCAGTAATTCATACTACATACTGAATAATTAATTATTAATACTGAATAATTCATAGTAAATACTAAATGTCAAAGCAGATACTGAATAATTTATAGTAAATACTGAATAATTCATAGTAAATACTGAATAATTCATAGTAAATACTGAATCATTCATCATAAATGCTAAATACGTCAAAGCAGATATTGAATAATTCATAGTAGATACCAAATAATTCATAGTAAATGCTGAATATTTCACAGCAGATACTTAATAATTCATGGTAGTTATGGAGCTATTTTCAGTAGATACTGATTAAGTCATAGTAGATAATAAATGAGTTCAAACACTACAAAATGACGTAGATAAAATCAGAGAGAGGTTAGTTTTAATTAAACAATAATAAATTAGCTGAATTTGTCACTTGGACACAATATTTACATTGAAACATTAGCAGGAGTTCATTGGTTTGTTTTCAAAAGGACTCTTATATAAAGTTCACGCAAATCTAAATGAGTTACTTAATCCCACGTTTCTTTAATCCATGGCCCAGGTGTGCCTGCGTGTGTGTGTGTACTGAAGGTGTGTGTCGATGCCTCGGTTTCTTTAGCTCTTTAATCCCTGCTCTGTCTCACGACTAAACTTGTCCATGTTGAAATCTAGATGGCATTAGATTGAGGTGGTCCTTAGTTTTGAAAGCAGCAACACAGACGCCTGTAGTTTTTTTAATTTTTAATTTTTGTTTATGAACTGAGCGGTCAGCTTTTTCAGGCTACTTGCATAATTGACTTAATAGTTTAGCGAAAAAAAAACTAATGTCTACAGTTTTCACAGTTTTCCCGTAGATCAGCTGAGACATGTTTAGCTAAGACATGTTTCGCGTCTGAAGCTTGGCTATGAGGCTAATGTTGAAAACTCATGTACTGTAATTACACTAACTGCATTCCTAAGTCATCACAAACTTGCCTCAAACTGTGTCAAGTAATTGGAGTTACACAGCAGCTGTAGTGGTTGTGTTGCTTCAGCTCCTGGACTGGTTCACTTGCTCTCACTTTGAAACATTGGAAATTTATTTTAGACCAAAAGGACCCAAAATCGGAAACAGACCCTAATGAAACTTCAGTGCCTTCAGTGCTGACAGATGCTGGATGTGTGGTTGAACTAAGCATTCATTTTTGGACCTGATACTTCTTAATAAGATATGAGACTCTTTATTCAGGTTTCTGCTGGGCTACGTTTGCTAAGTTGGTAAAACTTCAGACATTTATTGAAGTTCTTGCCAGGGTACATATGCTAAATTTACAAAAAAAATTTTTTTTGCTTGGCTAAATTTGATAATTTGCTAAGACTTCAAACATTTATACTCAAATTTTACCTAAATTACATTTGCTAAATTTCCAAGGCCTGAGAACTTTTATACTCAGATTTGGCAACATTTACATTTAAAAAAAAGGCCTAAAACACTTTTACTTTAGGTTTTTTGAAGGATACTTTTATCTCTACTCCAGTCAGTATTTCCTGTTGATATGAGGCCAGGTTTACTGCACTGTTGTTGGAAATAAAAGTTCCTGCTTGACTCAGAAATCGAGCGTTACCCTCTGAGCAGTCGTCTCCTTCGTACGGCCGATGGCACTCGCAGGTGTGCTTTCTCCACCCCAGGCTGATGCACCTGCCCCTGTTCTGACACGGACCGTCCAGGCAGGCGTCTCTCTCACTGCACCCCAGACTCACGTTCACCTGCCTGACCCCTGAACCCGGGACCACCGTCTGAGAACGAAGCCGTACGTCTCGCATGCAGCCCAGGAAAAACGCAGCAGCTCCACGGTCCGCGGCAAGTTCTGAATGAAAGTTTTAAATTAAATTACATTCGTTTTTCAAATTGCAGCGAGGTCTTCATCTCCACTGGACTACGAACATATTTAATACCACCAAAAACAGTTAAATCCCCTAAATTAGAGGCTAACTAATAACAATGACTATCATAAACTGTCTAAGTCAAAAATGTATAACTGGCTAATTGTGTATTTCTGATGACCGGATGCCAGTTGGAGTTCTAATAAGTTACAGTTTAACTTACAGACTTGCAACCTAGAAACTATTAGAGGGCCCCCTGGTGACCACATGGCCCTAAGCAGCTGCTTATGTCTCTTAGTAGTGGAAGCTTATGTACACCAATTAGCATCAGGCTAACTGCATGCCTAATTCAAGTTGACTTGCTTATGTTGATTCTGATACTGTACGAAATATTGTTATGTAAGCTTCCATTACTAGTTAGCTACATTATCTTTGTAGCTCCAGTGCCAAACCGAAAAAGCAAATATCAAATATGTCTTGGCTCATCACCTGCATTTAAGAAGCATCCATCAGAACCAATATTGCAAAAATTGCAGCATAATTTAATGGTTAAGATGTAAACAGAGTCGTTCAGAGTGGTTTGGTGTGAAACAATCTGTTCTAGAGAAACTTAGTCAGAATTGTTCACAGTGGTGGTGATAGGAACCAGACGTCCGAAGAGTTTAATGCCTTTAAAAGCTCCATCACACACAATCATTGCAAGAAATTCTTTTAAATATGCTGGCTGATGTCTGGGACATTGTTTTATGATATTATTTGTGATATATTTTTGGCCAGAACTGTGTTTTTAATCCATTTATGGTGGAGGGATGTATACAGGGCGTTTTTGGATAGCAAATAAAATGTCTATGTTTGTGTAGTAGTCATGGTGACCCCTGGTTCCTATTACCACCACATTTCACACCAAACCACTCTGAACCACTCTGTTTACATCTCACTTAATTATACAGAAATTTTGAAAAATTGGTGGAGTTCCCCTTTAAGAGACTGTAATGCGGGCAACAGATACCATCTCCAGTGTGATGGGTCTGCTGCTGTTCCCCCGTCCCGCCGATATAGAGGTTCTGGACCTCAGCCAGGCCGGATCCCAGCTCCGCCAGGGAGTTTGACTCGACTGCCTCCACTAGCGCCTCCTTGTGGCAGGTCTCAGGAGTGCAGGACGGCTCGAGCAGACTGACCCCCAGCAGGCCGCTGCTGTGCAGGAAGGCGTGGACTGTGTGCCAGTAGCCGTCTGAAACGTCCCTTGACAGCTCCAGGAGGACCAGCTGGACATCCTGGACTTGAAGGGTGTGCCGTAGTCGGCCGTCCCGCAGCTCCAGCGAGAGAAACTGTTCGTCCACCTGGCACAGAGTAACAGTTTCATTAGCACTACAGTTGTTTTTGAAGTGCAGGTATTATTTAAAGGGTCCACTTTATATAGTTTGTATAGTGTTATGTACCGATTCTTTCTCCAAACCCTTTTAATGCCTTAGAATCAAGCAAGCTGTATATGTTGCTGTACCTCTAAGACTGACATATGTAAATAACCTCGCTTCTGATTGGCTGATTTGCCCTGTTTTGTGCCTTTTTCATAAATCAGTTTGAACGGACGGTCATATGTAGGGGGAGAATATGAAGGACACGAAGGAAACGAAGGGGCAAAAACAACACATGTAGAACTCATTATGGTTGTGATGTCACAACCATGAGCAGTTCAAAGCATGCACTGCAAAAAATGGTGTCTTGTCAAGTAAAATGATCTTCAATACAGTCAATAAATCTAATATTTCTCCTGTTGAGATAGTTGAAAGCTTAATTTAAGGTTATTTACCTTATTTATAGACATTGTTTACTTGTTTTTCGGTCATTTTATCAAGTAAAATGATCTCCCTATGGTGGCAGACAATTGTGCTTGTTGTAAGAAATGTGCAAAATGATCAGCCAGTACAGTGAGATAATTTTACCTGATAAAATGGTGGAAAAACAAGTAAACAATGTTTGATATGAGCTAGATAATCTTATAATAAGTGCACAACCCTCCCACAATGGGAAATATTAGATATATTGACTAGATTTAAGATCATTTCACTTGACAAGACAGTATTTTTTGCAGTGTGGTGCTTTTGGGGCTTTGTTTTCAACATACGCAACAAACTGTATAAACTGGGTATGTTTTGGAACTTTAACGATGTTTACAGTACATTTGCACAAATCTTGGTTTTCTAAGGTTTGATACTGTGATGTCACAACCATGACGAATTCAAAGCCTGTTTTTTAGTTTTGTAGTTTGGTTCCCATGTATGGACAGTTTACACTGGGGATTAAAGAGTATATTTTAAACTTCAGGAATGTTCACACAGTACATTTGTAACATTCATACAAACTTTGTTTTTCTATGTTTCTACGATTTGGTATTCTATGATTCTAAGATGTGATGTCACAACCATGACGAATTCAAAGCATGGTGTTTTGGGGGCTTTCTTTCCAATATACGCACTGTGTAGATCGGGGATTGTATGTTTTGGCAAAGTAACTTTAGCCATTACACAGTACATTTGCACAAAATTTGGTTTTCTATAATTTGATGCTGTGATGTCACAACCATGATGAATTCAAACTGTGTTTTTTATTTTTGTGGTTTGGTTCCAACATATGGGCATATGTTCAACATATGTTATAGAACTTCAGGAACGTTTACACAGTACATTTAACATTTGTACAAACTTTGTTTTTCTATGATTCTATGATTTGGTATTCTATGATGTGATGTCACAACCATGATGAATTCAAAGAGTGCTGTTTTTGTGGTTTGGTTACCATATATAGACTGTATACACTGGGGATTGAACAGTATATCTTAGATCTTTAGGAATGCTTACATAGTACATTTGTAACATTTGTACAAACTTTGTTTTTCTACAATTTTATGATTTGGTATTCTACGATGTGATGTCACAACCATGATGAATTCAAAATGTACTGTTTTTGCAGCCTCATTTCTGTATAGGGACTGGGGATTTAACTGCATGTTTAGGAAGTTTAGCATGTGTACACAGCACATCACATTGTTTTTTTATGATATGGACCCTTTAACCCCTTAAAATCACAGGTTTATTACACACTAAGGCTTATTATCCAGTAACTACAGGGACTTCAGTGCAAACTGGCAGAGCTATTCTTAGGCTATAGATGTGTATAAAACATTGGGCCTACTGGTGGGCCCTGGCTATTTTCTATATGCTCATAAACCTGGCACCGCAGCAGGGTAGCTGTGCTCTGGACCGTCCGGAAGCTCAGGGTCACGTTCAGGGTCACCGAGCCGTCCTCTATTGGGTTCTGGACGTGAAGAAAGCCGCTCCTGTCAAAAGAAAAAGTGGTGGACGTCTGGCACCGTGTCCCTGTGAACCCCTCTGGGCAGGAGCACCTGTATCTGTGGCGTCCGTTGCTGAGGTAAGGAGAGCAGGTGGCTCCGTTTTGGCACCGGTGCCGTTCACAGCCCAGCAGTGCCACTGTGCAATTTTGGCCACCATAAAGGTGCCCATCCTGGGGCTCATTGGAACACTGACATCTGTAATCTCCACCCAGCCTCACACACACACCATCATTCTGGCACGGTTTGGTGTCACACACATCTGCGGCCTCTTCACTGAACACACCTGTGAAGATAAAAGAGAGTTTTCACCAAAGAGCTGAGCCTGCAGTGCCCCCTAGTGGCCATTCTGCAGGCAGAATGGAAATCGACTCCGTTATCAGATGAAATAGGGCACTGTTGACTCTGTTGGCTCTGAGTTAAGCTGCTAGGGAGCAATGAGGGGTAAAAGGGGAGGGCTGAGGACCCCCTGCTGTGAAAAACAGTTCACACCTCTCCACAAAGACGGAGGTAAAACGTACTGCAGCTTTCTTCCTATCAAACAATCCTGTACAACTGACACAAACAGCATTCAGACACAATCAAAACACTTTTACAAATGCTTACTTACTTTTTATAAATCATAAATATTTGCATCCAAATACATTTCATCAACTTTATTGAAGAAAAATTAAAAGGAGCTCCAAAACAGGTGAAAAGTGCATTTTATGATTACAATAAAAATAGTTAAACCCTAATTATTAATTATTTTTTAGGACTTCAGGTCTTAAGATCATTACATAATACTATATATTATTAGAAGTATTTAGAAACTAGTACGAATTATTCGGTAATTATGACACCAATACATAATATATAATACTAATACACCGATCAGGCATAACATTATGACCACCTCATTGTTTCTACACTCATCGTCCATTTTAGCAGCTCCACTTATTATATAGGTGCACTTTGTAGTTCTACAGTTACAGACTGTAGTCCATCTGTTTCTCTGCATACTTTGTTAGCCCCCTTTTACCCTGTTCTTCAGTGGTCAGGACCCCCATGGACCCTCACAGAGCAGGTACTATTTGGGTGGTGGATCATTCTCAGCACTGCAGTAACACTGATGTAGTGGTGGTGTGTTAGTGTGTGTTGCGCTGGTCTGAGTGGATCAGACACAGCAGTGCTGCTGGAGAATGAGCCACCACCCAAATAGTACCTGCTCTGTGGGGGTCCTGTGGGGGTCCTGACCACTGAAGAACATGGTAACAAAGTATGCAGAGAAACAGATGGACTACAGTCTGTAACTGTAGAACTACAGAGTGAAACTATACGGTCAGTGGAGCTGATAAAGTGGACAGTGAGTGTAGAAACAAGGAGGTGGTTTTAATGTTATGGATGATCAGTGTGTTTACAAGGGTTGTGGCCTTGTGTGGGTGAAACAGTGCCCCCTGGTGGTTATGAATGAAACATTTTTAAACATTCCAGGTTTTATGGAGAGCAGGTTTTATTAAGGACTTCTTTAGATCATTTAAAGTCTTTGTAAATTTGAGAACTTGTAATCTTTTAACTAATTCCAAAAAATGACTAAAGGACGGTTGGGAACACCAACAGTTTGGTGATTTTCCTGCTCAAGCACAACTGATTCAGCTCTTCAGTTAACTGCCAAGTTTAGTTGGTGTGTTACATCAGAAAAATCAGTAAACCGTGCTGGACTCTGGACCTCAACTCCTGGACAACAGGAACCTTCACCGAGTAGCTTTGAGGTTTTAAAGTCGTGTTATAATTCAATGTGTCGCTCTGTGTGGGTGAAACAGCGCCCTCTGGTGGCCGTAAATTCAAAACACTGCCTCTTCGAGCGTTAAATGGGAACTTTGCATAATTAAACGGTTAGGATGTAAACAGAGTGGTGTGGTGTCAAATGCTCCGTTCAAGAGTCAGAACTGTTCACAGTGGTGGTGATAGGAACCAGACGTCCACCTCTAAAAGCTCCCTCACATAAAGATATTACATGAAATGGTTATGAATTCACTGCCTGATGACTGAGGCGTTGGTTTATTACAGTTTTGTGATAATATTTTGGCCTAAAACTATTTTACCATCATCAACATTCCATATAAACTCAGAAGACTCGTGTAGGTTTACTGGTGGTTCTGGATAGTAAATAAAATGTCTATATCTGTGTTGTAGTCATGGTGACCCCTGGTTCCTATCACCACCACTGTAAAGAGATCTGAACCATTTCACACCGAACCACTCTGAATCTCTCTGTTTACGTCTCAAACACTGAATTATGCAGAAATTTTGAAAAAAGTGGTGGATTTCCCCTTAAGTCGCGTCATTGTTGAAAGTGGCGCTCTATGTGGGTGAAACAGCGCCCTCTGGTGGCCGTAAATTCAAAGCATCGCCTCTTCTAGCATTACTTGCAATGCATTACAGTTACTGTAATCAATGTGGCATTTTTTAAATGTCTTATATAACAAATATGAAATTACCATTGAAGGGACACTCCAGCCAAAATTAAAATTTAAACCAATGTTGTAAACATTCCCACTCGCCTCATACAGCGGTTCCCCAGTAGCCTCTAGAGTGAAATTTTCGGGATTAAAAACTAGCAAAGCCCTTTCTGATGATGCATCTTAAAGGTGGGAGGAGCTTTTGAAAAACTACAAGCACTTTGGTGTGAATAGGTTTGAAATGATGTTATTTTCATTTGCTGGCTGATGCAGAAGAAATGTTACTACTAGAAAGCCAAATATCACATTTGTATTTATTAGCCTCAGTGCATTTGTTTAACGCAACGGGCCGATTCACGTTGGTTGTATGATGTATCAGCGTAATGCATGCTGGGTGTTGTAGTTAGAGAATACTGGTGGACAAAATGGACACAAAAGTGTGAGTTGTGTCAAACAGATGAAATTGAGGGCTTCACTATAGAATATAGCATAACACAACAAATGAGAGATGGAATGCAAGTTTTAGGACGAAATGCCCCTTTAAAGACAGTGCGGACAGTGGTTTGATCGCTATTAGCTGACTTAAAGGGCCCATATCATGCAAAAATTCTTCGTTTCTGTAAATGAAAGATTTTGATGCAGTATGTTAACATTACTAAAGTTTTAAAACGTACTGTTCAATATATGACACTAAGCTTAAAAAAACAGCCAATTTTGAATCCATTGCTTTTGTGATGTCACAAAAACCAGCACATTTCCATATATCCATCTATTCAGACTACAGCAGGTTAGCCCCGCCCACACCAAAGTTATAAGGAGTGTTTCAGTCTGGGCTGCTTTTTAAATTGAGGCAGCCTATCAGAACAGAGCTCATTCACATATATCAGGCGTAAAGGGGAATTCCACCAATTTTTCAAAATTTCTGCATAGCTCAGCGGTTGTGATGTAAACAGAGTGATTCAGAGTGTTTTAGTGTGAAATGGTTCAGATTTCCTTACAGTGGTGGTGATAGGAACCAGGGGTCACCATGACTACAACACAAATATAGACATTTTTAATTTACTATCCAAAACCACCAGTAAACCTACACGGAATTTTTAAAAAGTTGTGGAATTCCCCTTTAAAGGCACAGTGACAGAAATAGCCTGTTTAAGTCTAAAGAAAGTACAAGAAAATGTAGCATATGGGCCTTTTAAAGTAACTATCACCCCTGTAACACAGGCAACCAATGAGAACTCAAGCAATAAGTCTTTACCTGCAGAAAGCAACAGAATGGTCCAACCTAGCACGTTCAGCCTTGACATGATCTCAGTCAGTGTGGGCGAGCTGAGTGAATCTGGAGATGTCTGAGAAGACCCATCAACAACAACAGGACACGTCCACAGTGCATCTTCATCCAAGTGTCTGTGTGCTGGGCTGGCTAAGGTAATGCTGGGATCAGTGCGAGGCAGATCCACAGGATTAGGCTAATACACTTATACACCTAACACGCGGGTCCCAGGCCACTGGCTAATTCGCGTGACGTCACACGTGCTATCCAGACAGACTTCACACCAACGTCCGTCTGGCCTTACATAACTTGCTCGAGGCACTCTGAGTGAGCCTGAGCTATTTCTGCAGGGAGACTGATTTAGACACACGGTTAATCAAGCAAGGCCCAACATAAACAATGCTGCTGTATTTAAGGCGGTTTACAGAGACTCTCTCAATACATCAGGCTTAACAGACTCACAGCCCTGGAAAAGAGCACCATTTCCAACATTTCTGCATAATTTAATGGTTAAGATGTTTGGAAAGTCATTCAGAGTGGTTTGGTGTGAAACGTTCCGTTCTAGAGGAACTTACTGAGTCAGAACTGTTCACCTCTAAAAGCTCCCTCACAGATTTTATTTTATTATTACATGAAATGGTTATGAATTCACTGCTTGATGACTGAGACACTGTTTTACAATCACTCTGAGAAGGTTTTGGTGTAAAGATTTTTTTTTTTAAATCCACTCATGGTGGAGGGATGCATGCTGAGGCAAAATAGACCCCAAAGAAAACTTAATTTTTCACAGTTTATCATCATCATCATTCCATATAAACTCAGAAGACTCGTGTAGTTTCACTGGTGGTTCTGGATAGTAAATAAAACGTCTGTATTTGTGTTGTAGTCATGGCGACCCCTGGTTCCTATCACCACCACTGTAAAGACATCTGAACCATTTCACACCAAACCGCTCTGAATCACTCTGTTTACATCTCAGTGATGGAATTATACAGACATTTTGAAAAATTGGTGGATTTCCCTTTTAATTACTGCACTGGGCATGCAGTAATAAAGCTGTAATAAAGTTTGATGACACTGAACTTCTTGTATATGTATAAGTGCAGTCCTACAGCACTAGGTATAGCTAAACTACTACTACTACTACTACTACTAATAATAATAATAATATCTTATTTATATAGTATTTGTTTATGTGCATCTCTTCAAAAAAGTTAAAATAAAAAGAGTTAAAAATTGTTAAAAACAATAAAAAACTATGAAGCGAGGCCAAGATAAAAAGGCAGAAATGGGTCCATTAACTAAACAAAATAAATCACCAGATGAACACTGAACTGGGGTAATTCAGGCTGCAATCCATTGCTGCTAGTGCCAAGTAAATAACATGGCATGCATACATTCATTCATTCATTCAGTTATTCATTCATTCATTTATTCATGGACACAAACCTTAAAAAGGCATTTCAAAGTTAGAAGGAGACTGAATTTGACAGTGGATGGAGAATAGAATCATCATAAAATTGCCTCATGAATGCAACAACCTGCAGCCATGAACATTTTACTTAGTGCTGTCTTGTCCCCGGCTAGGCTCAGTCTTCTCCACTGTTTGCCTCTGACTTTGCGCTCGCACCATTCCCTTTCAGTCTGCTGGGGTGGGTGCTATCCCACTTCTGACACCAGTGTGGTGTCAGTGAAGAGGAGGACATGGGAAATATTGCACTTTTAAGTTAAATGCTCTTCTGTTAAACAGGCAGGAAGGGAGAACCGCCGCTCACTGCTGCTGAAATGCCAAGATAGCAGGCAGGTCACTTCTAGCCATACACTTTTTCACATTCGTAGGCACTAACATTGTACTAACCACCCCCACAGCCTGACACAGTAAAACACAAGCAACACATAGTCACACTTAGGTGATGTCTATGTGCAAAGGAACAGAATCAAAACATGAAAAAAAAAAAAACATATAAAATACATTCATGTACAAAAATCAGTGTAAATATGTCATGAATATCAATAAGAGACATTTTTTCACGCCCTGATTTGCAACCAGGCTTCACAGAAAAGTCACAGATGGGCCTCGGTGGCTGTAAACTACACTACCCACAATGCAGCGCTCCATACGTGGCGCCATTATCATTGCAGAAAAAAAAATCGATTTAACACGTAAACTTCAGCTATTAATCCTACAGCACAGCATTGAGAGGAATGTCGAAATCTAATCTCTGCCTTGTGAACACAGCGATTTAAAAAGCAGCGAGATATGGTTATTAACGTATGGAACAACAGAACCAGCCAATCCCACGGCAGCTTGTTGAGAGGTGCCAATGTAGGAGGGTGGAGCACCGCCTGTTTTGTTGTGGACGTTTTCGGGTCATATTTAAGGGGAAACCCGGTTTTATTGTGGTTTTTAGAAGCTATGAGGAAGGAATATTAGCGAAAGACACCAAGAGAAGCTGCTCCACAAGGTAGGAACGAGAAAGAGGCACTATAAAGCATTTTTTCAGGGCACCGTAGGGTCGTGTGTCGAAACTCTCCTCTCAGGGGGGGCAGGGGGCTCCACAAGGGGAATCCAAGAAACGAATGGAAATGAACGGGGCTCGTTTTGCATAGTTATGACCAAAGCAGCCTTATTTTGTCCACCTCTGTCCACTATAGCAACGGCTGGTCGCCTTATAATACCAGTGACCTTCTGTTTACTGCAGGCCCAAATGGCATTTGCACTGTGATAAGCAGGGCTGGGATGTTATGGAATACAAGTATTGGAAATATTTATTCAAAAATACAGAAATTAAGTATCTTTATTCAGTCCAATAAATCACTGTTCAGAATACAGTTACCTGTTACATTTTTAGAAGAGTACTTTTAGTATTTCATAATAAAGAAATATATACCATTTTTAATGAAACACCATCATTGCATGCTTATTAACTCTTGGACTGAAATCAGTATGATGCATTATTAATCTCAGTGTTACTGAGCTCTGCTAAAGCCTGAGTAGACTGATAAATCAATGTGATCAGTTATTAATCTCAGTGTTACTGAGCTCTGCTAAAGCCTGAGTAGACTGATAAATCAATGTGATCAGTTATTAATCTCAGTGTTACTGAGCTCTGCTAAAGCCTGAGTAGACTGATAAATGAATGTGATGGTCAGTTATTAATCTTAGTGTTACCAAATTCTTTTGAAAGTTGATGGAACCTCAAGAGTGATAGCATCTTGGGCCAGGCAATATGTCTATGTACGTATATATATATATATATATATATATATATATATACACACACACACACACACACACACACACACACACACATATACACACATATACACACACATACATATTTATATATATATATATATATATATATATATATATATATATATATATATATATATATCATGATAAATTATGTCACAATACAATACAGTATGCTTTTCTGAGTATATCTTGTATATTGTCAGTACTTGCAGAACACTGACAAACTACATGTTTCAAAGTACAAAGAGCAAAATAGCAAAATTAAAAGAAAAGAACAAAATTAGTCCCGTTTAACTAGATTTAGTGCTATATATTGAATAAAAATCATTGTGTTTACAGTTTTTGATTATTTTTTTAAAATGTATTTTAAAATGTAGCTCTACTGTTCTTTTTCTGTTCCAACTGATCAGATGTCTGAAAAAATAAATCTTGTGACATACGGTCGCAGTATTATTATAATTTTTTTTTTTTGCCATAATTACCCACCTCTAGGTCCATCCTTATTTTATTCATCTTTGTACACTATAAGGAGGACTGTCTGATAGGTTATGCCATTGACTGCTCAAGTACAGCTACCTGAATTTCTCTAAATGCCAAGACACCTAAAATTGATGTTTGAAATGGTCGGGTGACTCACTACAGTGGTCAATGTGGGCGAAGTGGATCAGTCTTGCATTCAGTCTCACTCAAAATGCAGCGTATTATGAGTTTATTATGTGTTAGTATGACAGCGCAGTGCACTTGTAGTAATATTACTAAGTAAGACTACAAATATGGAAGCTGTATATATTAGCCTCTTAATTCAAAACGCTTGAGCATAGAATAATACAATCGACTACAAATAAAGTACTTGTTTTAATACTGCTTATATTGCATTCACTCCTGAATATCGCTTCCTTTTTACCAGACCACATTTCTTTTTTGATTTTTTTTCATTATATAAAATTCAGAGATACAAGGTTTTGTTCCAACATCCAACATATATATATATATATATATATATATATATATATATATTTATATGACATATTGGAAAAATAAAATAAATGATGGTCTGTGCAAAAGTTATAATATGTGACACCACACTGACACCTGTAATGTATTTTCTTCCAGATTCCCAGTTCAGACGTCTTTTTAACCATGAAGGCAAAAAAGAAAGCAAATATAACTCGACAGTCCACAGCGAAGAGAAGCGTTAGTGCACATTCTGAGGGAACAGCATCAACTGACCCAGCGGAAGAAAGTGAGAAGAATGATATGGACTCAACTACCAGCGCTGAGGCTTCCCAGGAAAAACGGCATTTGCGGATCTCCCAAAGCGACGGCTGCTTCCTCAAGTTCTTGAACAAGGACCGGCAGGCGCGTCCGTCGTTCTGTGACATAGCCGTCACTGTGCGTGGAAAAACGTACCACGCCCACAAGGTGGTGCTAGCGTTCGGCAGTAGCTATTTCCACGCTAAGTTGAGCGAAAATCCAGACCTGGACCATGTTACCTTCGACAACGTGGAGAGCTCCATCTTTGGCCACTTGCTGGACTTCCTGTACACCTCTGAAATGGAAGTGCAAGAAAGCCAGATCCCTTCGTTAGCTGAGGCTGCCTGCTTCTTCGACATGATGGAAGCGGTGAACCTTTTAGCAGGGGAGGTGGAGGTGGCTCCAGGGCGACAGGAAGGTGGGGGGGAAGGGGAGGAGGAGGAAGAACCTGAAACATCTCCTCATGAAGGAAGCGATCAGAAGCCTCAAGCCGAAACCCGGTGTTCGTTCTGTGGCCGGACGTTCCGCTACAAGAAGTCGTTAGATAACCACGTGGCTAAGATGCACAGCATTAGCACCACTAAGGAAGCTGAGGAAATGATTATCAAAGCGGTGGACGGCACCCGCAAATCGTCCCGAAATAGAAGGAATTTGACCAGGTTTGAGAAGCAGGAGACCCGAAACGGCCTCGCAATGGACATCCAACAGGAAGGGAATGCAGAAGAAGCTGCTACGTCTGTTGAGGAGGAGGAAGAAGAAGAAGAAGAGGAAGATGAAGATGAGAATGTTGGCGATCATCATCATGAGCACTTAGAGCAAAGAAGTGAAAGCAGTACAGAACAGACAGAAGCTCCTGTGGAGGAGGAGGTGAGTGGAAGGCCTGAAGGAGACTGCAGGAAGACCAGTGAAGGTGATGGTGAGGACGAAGCTCTCGGGACGTCCGTGAATCAGGAGACTGAACTGAACTCCGACCATGTGGCTAAAGCACGGGGCCCAGCAGAGCAGGTCAAAAGCCACGTTTACCCAGAGGGACTGGCACCCGTTATTATCCAGAGCTCCAGCAAGAAGACCCTCAAATGCCCCAAGTGTAGCAAGACGTTTGACCGTATAGGTGAGGGTTCTGATAAAAACACATAGCATTTCAGAACCATTGACCAATTGTGCTCTCTCTTGACCTCCACGTTTAAGCTATCCGTGCAGTGTAACACCCACATACACACACACAAGTGAACTAGTGGGGGGCAGTTGTGGGCTGGAGTTTAGGGAACCAGCCCTGTGACCGGAATGTAGTCGGTTCGATCCCCTGAGCCGACAGCATGTGAACTGAAGTGTCCTTGAGCAAGGCACCTAACCCCCCGCTGCCACCCGGTCGCCGTGGATAGGGCTGCCCACAGCTCTGGGCAAGTGTGCTCACTGCCTCCTAGTGTGTGTGTTTTCACTAGTGTGTATGTGGGGTTCTTAATCTTAAACACACACTAGGGGGCAGAGAGCACACTTGCCCAGAGCAGTGGGCAGCCCCATCCACGCTGCCCGGTGAGCAGTTGCGGGTTAGGTGCCTTGCTCAAGAGCACTTCAGTCAAGTCCTGTCAGCTCAGGGCCACCAGGCTGGTTTCCTAACCTCCAGCCCACGACTGATTTTTTTTCCTATAGTGAATAACTGCTTATATGCTTATATACTTATTTCTTAAATGGGCATGACACCAGCTACAGCTTGATGCATGACTTCACATGTTGAACAGCAGGGGGAGACATCGCCACAGTATTGAGAGGTGGATGTATTTACACTTATGTGACATAATTGGATAAAATGTGTCTCAAATGTCCCTCTATCTCTGTTTTAAATGCATCTTGGGTGCATTTACACCTGCATTTAATGTGGATAATCGAGATATAATCCTTATACTCAAGATGTATGAAACAACGGGGTCTAGAATTTCTACACGATTCACCCAATGTAGGTTTAAATAGGTTTACATTAATGCTGATGTTCTGTATTTCAGTCATGTACTGTTGGCTCAGGGGATCAAACCGGCGACCTTCCGGTCACAAGGCTGGTTCCCTAACCTCCAGCCCAGCCCTGACTGCCCCCAGCCCATGACTGCCCCTGAACTTATTTGTTATAAATGATGTATTAATAATTAGGGGTGGGCGATATGACAAAAATGTAATATTGTGATGCTTTATCGTGACGTTTTCACGATACACAATATGCATCAAGATATTTTGTTTTTCTGAGGTTCAACAAGTTGGAACAGACAAAATTGAGCCTGTAGTGCCACATATAGTATTAGTAATAATACATGTACAACCTCAGTGGTTTGTTTGTTCAATGTTTTACAAACTGCACTGCACTAAATCCAATTAAACAGGCCAAAATATGCTCACTGTGTGATGAAACGTGGTCAGTACTGATGATATCCATGATATGCTCAGAAAAGGGTTTTGTGATGTAATTTATGACAATGATATAATATCATCATATTGCCCACCCCTGTTTATAAGATATTGTTTGTTGTTTCGTTTTGTGGTTTCCAGTAGAACTGGACTGTTGACAAGCCATGTTTATGGGTAATATATAACGTTATTGATGTTTTTGCTTTTTTTTGTCCTCACAGGAAAATACGAGAGTCACACCAGAGTGCACACGGGAGAGAAACCTTTCCAGTGCGACATCTGTCTGCAGCGCTACTCCACCAAGTCCAACCTCACTGTGCACAAAAAGAAACACGCCGGCGACGCCCCCGTCCAGAGGAAAGAACACAAATGCCCCTTCTGCAGCAAACTGCACGCCAGCAAAAAGACGCTCGGCAAACATGTCAAAAGGTGTGAAGTTATGCTGAAATTTAAACACTTGCAAATTTTATTTTCCACCGTATTGCTACTCTGAAAATTACATTTTTTTACTCCGAGCTTGATGAAGAGAAAAAATAGGGTTTTTTGAGAATGAATGAACAGAAAAGTATATATATATATATATAAATAAAAAGTTGGCGTCGTTACATTTGCCTCCTCTTGTATTCATTCAATTTCAGTTTGAACACAAGCATGATTTATATGTTTTGTATCAAACTGTAACAGTCACTGAGAATTTTAATCTAATTTTTTATTAGACTCAGTAGAAACAGCCTGGTCTGATTCCATGTTTTGTTTGTAAAAAAGTTACACATCCTCTAGAGAGAACACACTTAAATATGATATTTGTCTGCAAATTTCAGCGCACATTTTCTATTTATATGATTGATATATTTTGATGTTTTGTGTCAAACTGCCAAATCACTGAGAATTAAAAAAAATTATACACTATATGGACAAAAGTATTGGGACACCTACACATCACACCTAGAAGAATACAGAAGAGCGTTTGTGAGGTCAGACACTGATGTTGGACGAGAGGGTCTGGCTCACAATCTCCATTCTAGTTCATCACAAAGGTGTTTGATGGGGTTGAGGTCAGGGCTCTGTGAGGGTCAGTCAAGTTCGTCCACACCAAACTCACCCAGTCAGGCGTTTATGGAGCTGCTTTGTGCACTGGGGCTCAGTCATGCTGGAACAGGAAAGGTTCTTCCCCAAACTGTTCCACAAAATTGGAAGTGTACAATTGTCCAAAATGTCTTGGTGCTGAAGCATTAAGATTCCCCTTCACTGGAACTAAGGGTTCTAGATCAACCCCTGAAAAACAACCCCATATCATCATCCCTCCTCCACCAAACTTTACAGCTGGCACAGTGCAGTCAGGCAGGTAACGTTCTCCTGGCATTCACCAAACCCAGACTCGCCATCAGACTGACAGATAGTGAATTTACGTATTGTGTAAATACATTAAACAGAGTGATAGTAAAAACTCCAGACTTCTAATGGTTCTAACACAGCAGCTCCTGGAAACGTTTCCTCCTCATTATTCTCTATGTGTTTGCAGGTTCCATCCTGACCGCATCCAGGAGTTCTTGAGCATGAGGAAGAGGAAGAGTGAAGGGTGGAAGTGTGATGTGAGTTATTTGTCTTCTGGAGTCACTTTTATTCTGCTTGTATGTAGATGATTCTGCTGAACTGGTATAAAATCAGTTACCAATTAAACTGTTAAATCTAAAAAGTATAAGATTTGTTGCGCTGCCTCTAGTTGCGTAGTTACAATGACCTCTTACAAGGTTAAAGCGGGTAGTTTGGGAATAATTTATTAAGAATTTTATACTTTTTTATTTTTAAGTAATAAATATTAAAATATTTGCTATTTGATATCAGAAACTATAATTACAGTGATTCTTCAACAGTTTACATACTGTACTGTAGTAAATCCAGTAAAAAAATAAGAATTATGCTTTTTTTTGGAGTGAATCATTCAGTTATTCAGTGTTAATATCCTCGACAAGCTCAGAAAAACATAACTTGACATAATTTATCATGACAACAGTTAAAATATTGTTATGTTACCCACCCCATCAACTTCACTGTTGATATTCTTGTCTTGAAAACAAATCGCAGGCATTTAAGCACAGGCATTTAGATCAAAATGTCTTTAATATTATATATAAAACATAAACTCAGTCAGGTTGGCCCAAACCTCTGACTGGTTCTGTATAGCAGATTATTGTTAATATTATTATGGCTATTATAGTAGCTATAATTATGTTTATGTGATTATAAACTGTATGTGACTGTTTTTCTCTCCAGATCTGCCACAAGTCCTTCACTCGTCGGCCACATCTGGAGGAGCACATGATCCTGCATTCTCAGGACAGGCCTTTTAAATGTGCTTACTGCGACGACTACTTTAAATCACGCTTCGCCCGATTAAAACACCAGGAGAAGTATCACTTAGGTGGGTTTAATTCCTTCCTCTTTTGGACGTTATGTTTGTTTTCTTTGGCGGTAGGAGCAGCTGGTGTTTGTGGGTCCTTTAGCGGTTTTGTTTTGTCCTGTTGTTCTCCCAGGACCTTTCCCGTGCGACATCTGCGGGAGACAGTTTAACGACACGGGCAACCGAAAGAGGCACATAGAGTGCACCCACGAAGGGAAGAGGAAGTGGACCTGCAACCTCTGTGGGAAATCCGTCCGAGAGAGGTGAGACTAGGACTGTTGTCAAGGCCTCCTCTGTCGAGTCTGAGGCAACTTTCAATTAGAAAGTAATATGATAAAAAAAAGTCATAATAAAATACAATCTCTATCTTTAATGGCTTAATTAAGTTAATTTACTGAGCTTGTTTGTCAGTTTTGACATCGTAATTATATGAAGATATCCTCCTTTTTTGTTTGACGTCTTTATAGTAACATTGTCACTCTCGTCTTGGCTCCAGAACGACGCTGAGGGAGCACCTGAGGATCCACAGTGGAGAGAAGCCTCATCTCTGCAGCATCTGCGGCCAAAGCTTCCGCCACGGCAGCTCCTACAGGTACAGCGGAGGAGTTACGGCGCAGCTGCGGCTCTCTACACTGTAAAAAAATCAGGCTGCCTTAAAATTTTAGGTTAATTAAACTTCGAATAGTACAAGAGTACAAGAATCTGTGTTTTAATGTACTTTTTTAAGTTAAACCCCAATTCTGTACAGTGTGTTAGTAATGGTTTACAGTATTGTAGAGAAAAATCTGTTTATGATGTACTTTTAAAGGCTTGTTCGCACAGGATTAGTGTTGCTGGTGAGGTAGGTATAATTTTTGCTGGCAAACTCTCAATTTAGTCTCCTCTGAATGTGCTACATTGGTCATTTTTACGGACTGTGCACTCCCACGTCAGTAGAGATTCTGGCTTCTTTTATACAACACGAGCAGTACAAATAATCCCAGATTATATTAATCCTGTGTGAATCGACGTGTCTGTAAAAACATTGTCATACAGGTGATTCAAGATGATTCATCCAATTTCAAAATGATTTATTTCACTTGTAAATCATTACAGATCAATGCAGTGAACTGTAAATGGTTTAAATGAGCATAAAGTTTATTATGTAATACAAGGTCTCAGTATGAACCTCCTCCAGCTGTACAGACAACATCAACACCACAGTCAGATTCATCCCATACTGGATTGAGCGTGTCGGGTGTCGCTGCACTCACGGCTCTTTCAGTGCGATTTCGGAGATCATCCAGTGTTGTGGAACCAACGACGAACGCTCTGAGCTGTTGGAGCTTCACTGACCACGAAAATCATGCTGCACAGTTATGACCGATTCACTCTTATTGAAGTGGAGAACGCAGAATGCTTTCTGCTCAGGGGTCTCCCTCTCCTCTCAGACTGAAGGGAGCCATCTTCCACTGACAGTCAGAAACTCTATGACCCCCTCTTTCAATTGGATTGTGATTGGTTCCTAGGAGCCTCACGGTTGTAAAAATATGGCGCTTTGAAATCAGATGAATCTTTTTTAATCACCCTGTATTCTGTGGAAAGAAATCGGTCGGGTTCTTAAAAATATGTTAACCCACCACTCCACGGAAAACTAATTCTGTACTAGTACTAAAGTAAGAAATTGGAAAAAAAATCTATCCTAATCTAAATCAACGGTTCTCAAAATAATCCCCAGGTCCATGTTATGCTCAGTCCCCAAGTGTTGGGAGATGGGATCAATCCAAAATGTGGACCGTCTGGGGGTCCCTGAGGAGGACAACCTTGAATTTAACCTTTAACTTAAAGGTCCCATATCCTACATTTTCCTTTCCTTTTGTTTTTTTTTCTTTGAGGTCCACTTTTGGTGTTTCTGTGGGTTTTTATGTCCCCAAAACAGCCATATTTCATTTTTACATGACTATTTTCCAACCTGTCTGTTTTTTGTTACTGTGCCTTTTAAGAGTGATATGTAAATGAGCGCTGTAACTTCATTGTGAATGGGCGGAGCTAAACTGCTGTAGGCAGGTATATGTAAATGCATCTGTTTTTTTGTGACATCACAAACTCAGTCATTTCAACATGGGCTGCTTTTGCAGATTAGTTTTCCTACATGAACTGCATGGACTGAAAGTGAGAACATTACATTTTGGAACTTTAACAGTGTTTACATATTACATTCTTGAAAAAAGATGGTTCTTCAAGGGTTCTTTAGTAAAGAAAGTGGTTCTATATAGAACCATGAACACTCAAAGAACCCTTTGCATGATTATAGGGTTCTTTTCATCATGAAAGGTTCCTCAGACTGATGGAAAATGTGCACGAATGTGCAATAGACGGTTCTATATAGAACCTTTTTGTAAATGGTTGTATATAGCACCCAAATTGGTTCTTCTGTTGTTACGATGTCAGGCTTGTAGCTGTAGAAGAGCCCTTTTGGGTGCCATATAGAACCCTTTGCAAAAAGGTTTTAGAACCATTTTCTTTACTAAAGAACCCTCGAAAGAACCATCTTTTTTAAGAGTGTAGATAAAATTGAGGAAAATTTCCATGAGATTTAATTTATGCAGCCAGTCAACAGTCTAAGTCTTTTCTTCCTCAGGCTGCATCTTCGTGTGCACCATGATGATAAGCGGTACGAGTGTGAGGAATGTGGCAAAACATTCATTCGTCATGATCATCTAAAGAAGCACAGGAAAATACACACCGGTAATAGAAACCGTTTAAGACTCTTCACTCCAAATTCTGTTTATTTTTCCACCCACTGAGAATTTAGCATCGCGCTGAGTTTGAGTTTAGAAGACATGGTTATGGCTCTTATGTCAGATTTCGGTCCTCCGCAGGTGAGAGAGCGCACCAGTGCGAAGAGTGTGGGAAGTGTTTCAGGCGTGCCGACCACCTGACTGTCCATTACAAAAGCATTCACCTGGGAGAGAAAGTCTGGCGAAAGTAAGCACTTCTACACGTCACACAATCCAACTGGGTACTTTAGTACAGGGGTACTATGGAGGTCCATTTCCACCACTGGAAAAATAGCATAGCTTTTATATAGCGGTTCTATATATATAGTAAATAATAATATAATAATGAGAAAATTGACTTAGGACGCATAATTATGAGATAGCATCTCATAATTAAGATCCTGTCTCATAATTACAGCTCAGTGTCTCATAGTTATGACATGTTGTCTTATAATATGTTCACATAGTAGCTCATAATAATGACATACTCATAAAAACGACTTTTTATCTCATAGTTATGACATAGCATCTGATAATTGTCTTGCTGTCCTATAAAGAGTTCCTAAAGAATCTCATAATAATGACTTACTGTATCATAACGATGACTATCTCATAATGATAACTAGGTACGTCATAATGACAGTGTCCTATATCATTATGATAATTTAGTATCTTATAATTATAACGTAGCATCTCATTATGAGACAATTTTCTCATTAATAAGACATAGTGAGTCATAATTTTAAGATACTAAGTCATAGAAAGTCATAATTATGAGAGAGTCATAACTATGAGATAATAAATCATAACTATGAGATACTAAGTCAAAACTATGAGAAACCTTCTCATTATTATGACACACTGAATGGCCTTTTTTCAAGGTAGAAATGGGCTTTGATTGGACGCAGTTCTAGCATTCATGAAAAAAAAAATGAAATTAAACACACAGACAAAAGATTTTGAGAGCATGTTCTCCAAACCTGCAGGTACAAGGCTGTAGTGCACCAGTGTGAAGTGTGCAAGAAAGAGTTCAGAGGGAAGACCAACCTGATGACCCATTTCAGAACACATTCAGGTAAAGAGGAGTTATTCACATCATCGTGCCACAGTTTCGTCTGTATGACAGAACCGTTCCTGGAGATCTACCACCCTGCGTCGTTTCTCCTGCCCATTTTTCAGTCTCCCTTTATCCTTTAGAAACAGGCTGTTTTTGTTACTGTCCTTTAAGACTGATATATGTAAATGAGCTGTACTCTGATTGGCTGATCAAAAAGCAGTTCAGTCTGAAACACTGCTTTCATTGAGACTGGGTGGCGCTAAAGTGCTTGAAGCTAAATAGGTGTATATATGTAAATGTGTTTGTTTTTGTGGCATCATAACAATTTAAAAATAATTGTGAGTTTTTGTAGCCTAGTTTCCATATATGTATACTGTAACTCTTTTATGTCTTAAAAGTGAAGAAAACTAGTTTTTCATCATATAGGCCCTTTAAAAATGACTTTTTTTCATAAACAACAGCTGATCGGTCTTGTTGACCAATCCTTCCCATCTGAATTGCTCTTTTTGTTATTTTAAAACTCAACAGGTGAGAAACCCCACCGGTGCGTGATCTGCAACCAGACGTTCCGCATTAAGAAAACTCTGACCAAGCACATGGTCATCCACTCAGATGTTCGTCCCTTCAACTGCCCCCACTGCAGCGCCACCTTCAAGCGCAAGGACAAGCTAAAATACCACGTGGACCACGTCCACAGCGGACGTCTTGTGAGCCAGTCCCCGTCCCATATGTCCACTGCCTCAAACGACAAGCTCCCAGGACCCCTGACCTCCTCCGAAACGGCCAAAGCTTACAAGAGCGTCCTGCAGGGTGACGTCTGTGTCCCGGTCACTCTGGTGCCTGTGCAGATGCCTGAAGAGACTGACTTGGCCCATGCGGTCCAGCAGCAGCAGCAGCCGCAGCCAGGCAGTTATCAGTCGGCCACTGATCTCGTGTTTCTGGAGAAATACACGCTGACCCCTCAGCCGGCGAACATAGTGCACCCGGTGCGGCCAGACCAGATGCTGGACCCCCGAGACCAATCATATCTGGGCACTCTGCTGGGCCTGGACACGGCCACCACCGTCCAGAACATGGCTGCTTCTGAGCATGCCCACTAGCACTTCTTCTGGCTTTTAAATGCTCAGCTGCATAAACAATAGTCATGCTGACCTGTGCTTCCTTGCCGTTAAGCATTTGCAGAGTGTAATTTATTTACAGCAGAACATCAAACTTAGAGATGTGCATTCTTACTAATTTTGATATTTGTGTGTCTGTAAGGTTCAAGAACCACATATCGTTTAACCGCAAGGGAATGTCATTCAGAGTTGTTTGATGTGAAATGCTCCGTTCTAGAGAGTTGGAATTGTTCACAGTGGTGGTGATGAGAACCAGACATCCACCTCCAAAATCACCCTCAGAGAATGTAATGAAATGGTGTAGATAAAGTGGCTATATTTGCCTTGTAGACAAGGCAAACCCCTGGTTCCTATCACCACCACTATAAAGAAATCCGAGTCTCTCCACTGAATGATTTCAACAATTATGCAGAAATTTTAAAAAATTGGTGGAATTTCCCTTCAATGTACCTAGTAAACAATTGGCCGGCAAATCTACATTGAGATCACATACATGACAACAACGGACTCTTATTTTTTGTATTATAATTACAGTGAAGGATTTGAAGGTACAAACTGAGGAGTGATTTTAAGCTACAGGATATAATTTACAGTAATGTGATTTACAGTGCAGCACTTTGGCTTAAATGCCTGATGAAAAAGAGCTTTAGACTTTTAAAGCCTCAGGGAACCTAAATCTGTGATTTCTTTCTAAGTACCTTAATCTTGCTTTTGTTGGTGTGTGCAACTTTCCAGTGTCCACTGAATGGCTGATGTATTTAAAGTGTTTCCATATAAAGGCTTGATAATGTTTTCAGTGAAGGGTCTCAGCAGGATCTACAGCACCAGATGTATACACTGTGTGGCCAGAAGTATGTGGACACCCCTCCTAATTATTAAGTTCAGGTGTTTCAGCCACACTCGTTGCTAACAGGTGTATAAAATCAAGCACATAGCCTTGCAGTCTCCATATACAAACACTGGCAGTGAAATGGGTCGTACTGATGAACTCAACGTTTAAATGTGGCACTGTCGTAGGACGCCACCTTTGCTATGAGTCAGTTTGTGAAGTTTCTGTCCTGCTAGATCTGCCCCTGTCAACTGTAAGTGCTATTATTGTGAAATGCAAGCACCTAGAGCAACAACAGCTCAGCCACAAAGTGGTAGACCATAAAACCTACAGGGCGGGACCACAGAGTGCAGAAAGTGTAGCACTTAAAAATCACCTGTTCCCTGTTGCTTCACTCACTGCAAAGTCCCAGTCGGCCTCTGGAAGCAACATCAGCACAAGAATTGCGTGCTTCATGAAGTGAGTTTCCATGGCTGAGCTGCTGCACACAAGCCTAAGATCACTATGCGCAATGCCAAGAGTCGGCTGGTGTGGTGTAAAGGGCCGCCACTGGACTCTGGAGCAGTGGAAACGTGGAGTGATGAATCACACCTCTCTGTCTGTCAGTCTGATGGACGAGTCTGGGTTTGGTGGATGTCAGGAGAACGTTACCTACCGGAATGCACAGTGCCAACAGTAGAGTTTGGTGGAGGAGGGATGATGGGCTGGGGCTGTTTTTCAGGGTTTGGGCCCCTCAGTTCCAGTGAAGGGTGATGTTGATGCTGCAGCACAAAGACATTTTACACAGTTATCTGCTTCCAGCTTTGTGTCAGCAGTTTTGGTGAAGAGCCTTTCCTGTTCCAGTAGGACTGAGACTCTATGCACAAAGCAGCTCCATAAAGACATGGTTTGACCAGTCTGGCGTGGAGGAACTCCAGTGGCCTGCACAGAGCCCTGACCTAAACCCCACTGAACACCTTTGGGATGAACTGGAATGGAGATTGTGAGCCAGAATATCAGTGTCTGACCTCACAAATGCTCTTTAGACTGAATGGACACAGATTCCCACAGACACTCTGCAAAATCTTGTGAAAAGCTTCCCAGAAGAGTGGAGGCTGTCAGGTGTCCATATACTTTTGGTCATATGGTGTTTGTAGAGCCCATTTTACTCATTTTTCCCTACTGCTTAGTTCTGCTTCAGTGGAGTAGCAGTTGGAAAAAGGGCTGTCAATCAAACATGCCCTTTAGAATATTAGGTCACGCCTAGTCAGTTCGCTACGGAGCCCTGCCAGTCAGTTTGAATAAAAATAATGTGTTCCTAATGTGTGGCCACAACTTAGTAATGCGTGGGAACAAGATAAGTCGTGGCTCCGACTTAGTAAGGTGTGGGAATGAGATCTTGCCTGATTAATCTTTGGTCAAGGCTCAATTACCTTACTAAGCTGTGGCCACAACTTAATTATCTCGTTCCCACACCCTAAGTCGTGGCCACGCATTATTTATATTTATACAGGATGTGACCAACAGGGCTCCGTAGTTCTCAGATAGGTCTGATCAGCGTTTTTTAAGCTGTGTTTTATTGTATTAATGTAATTTTATTTAACTTCATTAGAAATTTGGCGGATGTTTAATATAATACAGCACACATTATTTAATATTTTACACTGTGTTCTCTGCGACTTTAAAAGCTTTCTAATTTGTTTAAAATTCAACCCGGCAGTGGAAATCATGACAGCTAAAGAAATAATAATGAATAATGGCATTAAACTGCAGAAGCTGATCAAACAGAGGTCGTCTCACTCTGATGGCACATTCGCCTACGGCAAGAACTGCTTTAAACGTGAGTGACATCACTAAACGCGCGACTTATGCACTAATAAATAATTGCAGCTCACCAATAAACAAAGGAGCGAGTGAAGTGTAGGTACAGTATGTTGAAATTCTTCAGTGTGATTTTCACTGTATTCTGCCTGAACATTTATTCCAATATGCAATTCAGTTGTTCTCTGCTGAATTGTGAGGCTGAGTGATTTAGGAAAATGTGTCATAATGATTTTTCTGACCAATATTCAGGTCATTTAAGTGCAATAATTTTCTGTAAATTAATCTTTAGGCCTTTTATTTTGCCAGGAAGACCAGCACATGCATTTTTTCCCAGATTTGAGGCTGATTGTAGTGTGCCATAATGTCGGTTCATGAGTTCTGCATTAGTAGCATGTTATCTGAGCATGTTAGTTTTCGGTTCTAAATATTTATCATAATTCCAGTATCGGGCAGATAATACATTTTCCCATTTTCCTGTTAATGAGCGAATAATAGCCTATATCGGCTGCTGATCGATCATACACCCTTTAAAACCACTGAAATGTGCAGTGCTCCAGATCTATGATTAGGATCTGCTGATCTTAGATATAGTTGGGCTTATTTTTATTATTTTATTACTAATTTTTTTCTTCCTGCATTCTAAATAAGACAGATGGCCAGAAGTAGAAAGATAGATAGCGTAACATTTCTATCTACACTAGAAATAAGATCGGCTACACTTCTTCCGGTCCAGGGGCTGGCAACGTGTGACTCCGGAGCTGCATGCAGCTCTTTTACTGTCCTGTTGTGGCTCCACAGCAGAATCAGATTAGTAGGTAAAAATAAAATAATCCTCCTTTACAGTAAAATAAAGCTCTGCTGATCGTTCAACACAGTTTAACAATAAATGGTCTTAAACTCTGGAGTTAATTTAGAACTGCTGATTCACCCTTTAACCCTGAAGATCAGCGCAGACTGCTGGTCACTATAGCAACACAGACTACAGTCTTGCCTGGCTAGTAGCTAACGAAACGGCAAAGAGAGAGATTTAAGACGAACGTCGATCATTTGGAGACGAATGGACTTATTAGTGTTTATAATCACCTGATACGTCCTGATACGTTTAATCTGCAAAGAGAAACTGAAACACTAAAAAGTTGCGTGGCTTAAGTCGCTTCTCATTCGCCAACTTCTTGTTCAAATTTTCCTGTTCCACCTTAAATGGTTACATTCTGGTGCCTCAGGCAGAACGGCAAATTGGAGGTGGAACGGGAAATTGAAGCTGGAGAACGAGAAGCGACTTCAGCCTCGTACAAAGCCGAATGTTAAGAGACATTTTACAAGAAACTATTCTACTTTTGAGAAAAAGTTTCCTGCCAGAGATGGGAGAAAAGCGGCTATAGCTGAGCTAAAGCTTAAAGCAGAACAAAGCAATTCTGCGTAATTTTTAGCCTCTACTAGGACATCAGCACCTACTGAGACACAGCCAAGATGGTAAAATGGACATAAAATATTGTGGCTCCTAAGGCAGTTTGATTTTTGTTGAAAGGGCAAAATGGCTCTTCTTAACATTTGGGTTGCCGACCCCTCTTCTAGATACTGAGTTCACAGCTCCTCTCGGCTCTGGGATTTAGATGAATGTCTTTTAATTGTATTATCATTTTCAACACTGTGGTAACCTTGCTCTCTCTTTAAACATGATTCAATGGAGGCAGGTGCTTAATTATAGCCCAACATTTTTAAGGTCAGTCATATAATGTACAGTCTGACACTACACAAATTTAGAAGTAAGAAAAAATAAATCAGAGTACATTTAGATATACAGGATGGTGAAATAACAGCGAGGCCTTTTGATGGTGCTGTAGTGTTAGAGGTGTGGAGAAGGCCCTGGGGAGCCACTTGGTCCTCATAAAACAAGCTGTGATAGGTGAGCTTTTCCCTCAGGTGGGTTATAGGGTGATCTTCTGGAGAGGTTATCCTGCACGAACATCTCTCCTATCCATCATCGCTGAGCTAGTGGCAAGGATAGATAAAGAAGGGTCAGGTAGTCAGAGTTGTATCTCTATGGGTTCATCCTGGCCCACATTTTCTTTCACTTCCATGGGTTCCTCCTCATCATCTTTTCCATCAGCTTTCATGGGTTATTCTTGATCCAGTTCTCCATATTCCAGGGATTCCTACTGATGCGGTTCTATATCCTTCTCCATGGACTCCCCCTGATCGAGTTCTTCACCCACCTTCATGCACTCTTCCTGGGCCAGTTCTTGATGAACTTTAGTGGGTTGATCTTCATCCAAAATCATGGTGAACAGACTTGCTAGATTGTAATTTGCCGTGGTGGTGCTGGGGAACCTTCAGCAGTTCTGTGTGAAAGATAGCAACACTTTGGTTACGTGTTTTGTCCAAAATGGTGTTGTCGAGGGTCCAGGTGGGCTGGTGTTAACAGTTCAGTGTGCTAAGCTTTATACACTCTTAGGACCACAACAAGTAAGGTGTGTTAATGGGCAATGGTCAGAGCTGCCTGTTTGTAAAGGTCAGTATCACTTGTAGTTCAAATCAGTTTAAATTTAAAAAGTGGAAAACTTTTTTGATCTTTTTTTTTTACATTTAATCCCGTTTCTCTGTTTCCTCAGCTTCATGTAGACTGGATCAGTCAATGTTTTATTTTCCTGAGAGAGTACATGCCGCAGGGCGAAGAGGAGGTGTTTTTTTTGTTCTCGCTTTTCCACAGTGCAAGTCAAATGTGATGATGGAAGAGTGCTCTATAGAGGATGTGAGTGTCCTTCATGTCCGTCCTGCACATAAACACTCTGTATTCTTATCTGAGTTACTGACGCTACTGTCGCTCACATACATACAATCACTTACTATGAGCCTCATTACTGGGTGGTCCCATAAGCCTGTGAGGCAGGTTAAAAACATTGAAAATAATATTTAATTTAGCAATTTGCAAAAAAAACTGCAATACAGTTTGTTTCATGAGAGCTTGATGACTGTTTCTTTTGTTTTCAGGTGGTCGCAATGAGCGGGTGAGTATGAATACACAATATCTCAGCATTTCCAATAATTTTGCTTAAAAAAATTGAAAAATTGAACAATATTAATGAAGGATGAGTGATATGGTTTAGTGTGATATCTACCTGTGATGCAAAGTCATGTAAATCATTGTAATAAAGTTATAATGAATGATTTGTCTTGTGTTGACAGTGATATCTGCGTGTGCGGCACTTCTTACTGCTGCAGCTGCTGCTGATATACTCAAACCTGCAGAGGGACTGGAAGAAATTACAACCCAAATGTTTCAACTTTTAAGCATTACTGTAACATTGCTTTCCTTTTCCAGAACAAATGTTCTTATTTTAACCAGAATAAAGGCACTTCCTTAAACACTGGCATTTCATCCTTTCCAAAGCACATTTAACATATCAGTGCTGTCGGAACAAAAATACAACAAAACGTGTAACTTGATTTTTTTCTGCAATATTTAAACACAGCAGTTGTCCTTTATGAAATATTATGGTGACTGGACACAGAAATGCTTCAAAATTAGGAGTTTCTTTATTACTTACATTAAAGGTTAAGAAAGTTTTTTGCCTTCTCCTGAAAATCTAGAATAGGTCCCATATGCTAAACCCCATAGCTAAACAAAGAGTCTTCTTCATTAAGTCCACACTCTACACTCACTGACCATTTTTTCAGCTCCACTGACCATACAGTTTCACTTTGTCGTTCTACAGTTACAGACTGTAGTCCGTCTGTTTCTCTAAATACTTTGTTACCCTGTTTTTCAGTGGTCAGGACCCCCACAGAGCAGGTACTATTTGGGTGGTGGGTCATTCTCAGCACTGCAGTAACACTGATGTGGTGGTGGTGTGATAGTGTGTGTTGTGCTGGTCTGAGTGGATCAGACACAGCAGTGCTGCTGGAGTTTATAAACACCTCAGTGTCGCTGCTGGACTGAGAACCAAAAACATCCAGCCAACAGCGCCCTGTGGGCAGCGTCCTGTGACCACTGATGAAGGACTAGAGGATGACCAACACAAACTGTGCAGCAGCAGATGAGCTATCGTCCCTGACTTTACATCTACAAGGTGGACCAACAAGGTAGGAGTGTCTAATAGAGTGGACAGTGAGTGGACACAGTGTTTAAAAACTCCAGCAGGTTTCCTCCTTGGAGGTGCTCATATTTTATTGTGTTCTTTTTCTCCTCACTCAGTAATGCTACTTTTTTTAGTTTTCATAAAAAATATTAAATAGTGCTGCTTTAAATGGCTTCAACTGTCCAATGTTAAGTTATAGCAGGCTAAAAAAAGGTGAACAGACACAATCTTTAGCTTGATGCTAATACAACAAGGGAATTCCTATCAACAGGCTAATGGAAATTAGCATCATGCTAGCAGTAGAAATTTCAGTAAAAATGCTACTTGCGAAGCAAGTTAAAAAGGTCTCAGGATTAAACAGTGATATGTTTGTGATTCGCATGGACGGCTGGTATGTTCATGATTTTATGACTATGCTTTACACACTTCAAGTGTTTAGTTCATGCAGGCAAGCTAATTCTTCCTGAAACGGTTTAATCAGGGCTAATTTTACATGATAGCGTCTGGAGCCTGGTCACTTAGCAATTTATACCTAATGCCATCAGATTAATAAAGATATATATCCAAAAATCCAGCTTTTTTGATTTTTAAAGTGTTATGGGGACATACCTACTGAAAAAAACAGCACAGAGCAGCAAGCATTCCATGCTGGTCTAGTGCTGGTTTAGCTGGTCACCCAGCAAGATCATGCTGGTTGACCAGCATGCCAGCATCCACAACACAACATCTGCTTGTTTTGCTGATGACCAGTCCTGCTTACTGTTGTCTTCTGCATGTACAGTAAGCTGACATGGCTGGACAGCTTAGACAGAATGACTGAAATCAGCTGAACTATGGTGTTCAAATGTTTTAGTCTTCCTTTCTGCAGACGCACAAAGCTGTGTGGAGTCCAACTCTAGCTCAAGGCTTTCTAGTTCCTGAGCAGGAAAGCTACGAACACGGCTCCGAGGTTTCCTACGGCTGTAATTCCGGACTGAAATCCGGAGCTGAAGCATGGTGGGGGGTGATAAAGTGTGAAAATGGTAGATGGTCCCACACCCCTCAGTGCATTGGTAAGTACATTTCCAGGCTATAGTCGACATGATGCGATGAATGTATAACTTTTGTGTTGTTTTCATTGTTGTAATATACTCAGAATATACATATGCAGTGTTATGTGTAATTACAGCCAACATATAGATATAATAATGTGTCCTGAATGTAATGAAAATCATATAAAATATATTTTAGAACTCTTTTTCGCGTGGAAATCACACCAGATGACTTACGCCAATGCATAAATGTTCGTGTTTGTTGTCCCAGCTTTAAGTGACTGTATCGCACCAGATGTGCCACACACCACAGCAGAACATTACAAGCATCATATTCTACTAACAGCACAGTTATCTGTGCTTGTGATAAAGGTTACGAACTTAATGACACAGATTATCTTGAAGCAGAATGTGAGAATGGAGAGTGGAGTGCACTGCCGACGTGTACACGTGAGTATCCTTTTTTATATCTGGAAATAAACGGTGCATTAATATGTTTAACTATCACTGAGTGCGTTTACATGCACTCAATAATCCAATCATATTTGGATTTCTGCAGTTATCTGATTATTCAAATGGTCATGTAAACAGCACACTCCAATTTTTTTAGATCGGAGTAAGGTCTAGAAATCTGATTAAGAAATCTGATAAAGAGGCTGGATTTTAGCTCAGTAGTCAGATTTCTCAGTGCATGTAAACTCTTACTCTGATTTCTTTCGGATTTCTCAGTCTGCGCATGAGTGAAAACAGACTGCGGTACTGGAAATAAGCGAGGAGCGTCGCCGCGAGACGCAGCAAAACACTTTTGGAGCGACACTGAAACCAAATACATGCTTGAGGAAATGAAGGATTTAAATATTCTTGATCTTCTAGATGATGTTTGTTCATATTTTCAGCTAAAGTGACGTAATGTTTTTAAAAAAAAGCTGCAGCATGAAGTTTGAGTTTACCTTACCCTACTTTATTCATTTATTCATTCATGCATGCATTCATTTATTTATTTGTCTACTTATGACAAAACTGCATACTAAATGCCTGTTTGTGATTAGAGCCTCAGTCGCACATGACCCAAACCTAAATACAGCCTGATAACCCGAGTCCAAACACGAACCAGACCGGACAAAATGTTATCCAAACCTGACTTGACCTGACCCACGTCAAGTTTCGAGCCTGAAACTGACCTGAGCTTAAAAAAATTCAGTTCAAAACCAGCCCAACATCACCCAAATGTGCCAAACAAAACCCAACAGTAAAGTGCTGGTTAAACTACCATGTACTGACCGTAACACGGACAAATAAAGTTACAGCAGCCTCACAGAAACATTATCTTGCAGGTCATGCAGTGTCCACTTTTTTGTAATGTTTTGCCATCTAAATCATAATTTTGGGTCATTTCTTAAGCTCTCACACTGCACGAAGAAATCTCAAGTCAACCAACTGACAGAACAAACTTGCATCATGACTATATTTTTCTCTTTCTGCATATCGTTACGGAGCCACTAATGGGCCATGGTTAAAAACAAATGGTAAGGACATTGTGTTCCCTCACAATAAGTTTGCATTTCTTTGCTAATGCAATTGATTTTGCAAGCAAATGTAAAACTTTCATGAGGGAAAACAAAAAATCTCAAAAGGGAATGCAAAACATTTGCAAGGGAGTGCAATATTGTTGCAATTTTTTTTTTCGCAGTGACACTCTAAGAGCTCAGTATATCATAGCCAGGAGTACAGCTAGAACTTTTAGAATGGGGTGGCCAGGTAGGACCTAGAGATTTTACTGGGGGGAGACATTGCAAGGGAAAACAAAGAAAACTTAATAAAGTAGCACTACTGGAATAAAACTGCATAAAAAGTGATGCATTGTTCTTTCTCTGTACATAAGTAAATCTGTCCATTATTTTCACATAAATAAAATATTACCTCTAGCATCTAACACAATAATTGCCAAAAGTAAACTAAAAGACAAAATTGATGCAGTGCATTTTAGGCATTCATAAGCAAATCATGTATTTGTAACAAGCTAGTTAAATGCATCACTTTTTAGGTGCACACTTGGTGTTAACTATAGGAAAAATGGTCAATATAAACCGGCCATAGAGGTTGTTCATTTAGGCCCTCACTACACATGAGTCTAATGATTAGAAAGCCACACAGCACTGTATAAGGTGAGGGGCCTAGCTTTAGCACCAACCCTTTTTGAAAATTTATATAGCACCAAAACAGGATCTCCTGCTGTTACGTTGTAACCCTTTTTGGTACTACATAGAACCATTTTCAAAAAGGTTCTACAACTCCAAAAAAGTTGCGATGCTGTGCAAAATGTAAATAAAAATGCAATGATGATTATTTAAACCCTATATTTAATTGAAAATAGAACAAAGAATACATATCAAATGTTGGGGCCTGTTTAACTCACCTCTTCTTTTAACAACACTCTGTAAGCGTTTGGGAACTGAGGAGACACTGCGGTAGTTTTGAAAGTGAAATGTTTTTCCATTCTTGTTTGATACAGGATTTCAGCTGCTCATCAGTTCGGGATCTCTTTTGTTGTATTTTTAGTTTCATAGTGTGCCAGATATTTTCAGTGGGTGACAGGTCTGGACTGCAGGTGGGTCAGTTTAGCACTTGCACACTTTTACTATGGAGCCATGCTGTTGTAATACATGTAAAATGTGGTTTGGCATTATCTTGCGAAATAATCTAAGCCTTCCCAAAAAATATCTGCAAATGTTGCCAAAACGCGTATATATGTCCCTCTCCTCTTTAGCCCAGAGAATGCCGTGTCTTTGATTTCCAAAAAGAATTTCAAATTTCGACTTGTCTGCTCACAGGATACGTTTCCACTTTGCCTCAGTCCATCTTAAAAGAGCTCAGGCCCAGAGAAGGTGGCAGAGTTTCTGGGTCCTGTTTATATCTGGTTTCTTCTTTGCGTTTTAGAATTTTAACTTGCATTTGTAGATTCAGTGATGAAATCATATATAAACAGGACCCAGTGGTTTTCAGAAGTGTTCCTGAGCCCATGCAGTGATTTCCACTACAAAATCATGTCTGTTATTTTTTTATTCCAGTTCCATCAAGGCATGTTTCAGCCCCAACAAAGCCTACGCAACCTAGGTTACATTCTGATACAATTCTGAAATTGAGGTACTACAGCTCTTTATCAGCACTGTATCTACTGCTATATCATGACTGAACCCATTTAGCAAACTTTGCAGCTCTTAATTTAGCTTTTAGACCTGTTATTAGCATCAGACTTTC